CTTGCCCATTGGTCCCCACCAGAGCAAATAATGAGCGAAAACCTTCAGGGACAAACCACTGTAATAGAGAAATGTCTTATTGATCCACGTGACATTAAGAGTAATTCCATCCAACCCTTTCAATTCTGAGGTTAAAGGTCAAATCCTACTGAGGTCTAACTTGAGCTGCTCAGATTTCAGAACATTGATGTTTCTTTTACTTAAGCATGTTGATAATTTCCCCATAGACTGGAAATGTAAAATGATTTTGTTTAAGTGAAGCTGCAGGACAATGATATGTCAAGGAGTCAGTTCTATATACTGACACTAAAACTATGATAAATAATTTGAATACAAATTGTAACTATTTTCTAAAATGAAAACAAAAATTTGTTTGTTCCACTTGGTGACCTTTATATGCACTGGTGTGATCTGCAAATGGCAGCATTAGAATTATGTGGTAATCAAAACAGAACAGCACACTCACCCGACTGAGATGTTCATCAAAAAGTGCTGATGTAAACAGACTATGTAACAAGGCCAATTGCCCCTGAAAAAAGCAAATAAATAATTAATTACAGTACAACCAATCAAATGTATTGTATGGATTTTAAATTTAATAAGGAAGTAAACTTACTTTGAACTGCTCTCCTAAGAGCTTGTGGGCTATCTCCTCCTCCTCGTTTGCTGCCCGGCTACAAAAGTGTGAGAAGAGTCTTTGCCAGTGTGCCTTGTCCTTAGCCTGGTTCACAAAACATAAGAATGTCATGATGATTGTGGACCTTATCAAGTACTTCCTAAGAACTATATGAGCCTCACCTGCTTGACAGCAGCGACCATTTTGGCCATCAGCATAATGCTGGAGGTTTCCGGGGGATAATGAATGCTCCTGTAGGACAAAATGGTTAAGGAATAGTACTTAACATTACATCAGTTCACTCTAAATCAATCCAGCACTTACCTCCATGCATCTTTGAGCTTATTGATGGGGTGATCAGGATCGTTCTCAGATGGCCCCAGACAGAGAACTCTGTGATACTGGTCCGCTGCAGCCTGTCGGCATTCACTGCTGCAGTACATCACCTGCAAAAAAGTTTTGTCAATGTTAGTTTTAGTGTTTAAAATTGTATAATAATGCTTTTTTTTTTTTTTTAAATATCATAATTCTATTGAGCTCAGACTAAAGGAGATGGAGTAATATCATGTGAAAAAAACAATTAGCCTTTCCCTGCTCCATAAGAATGCTGGCTTATCGATTTATGGCAGTGATACAAACCACTAGAGGTAAAGCCATGACCACATAGAAGAAATTGCATTATGGACACTTGGACACTTTCTGGCTCCATGGGTTGCCTCTATACCACAGGTGTCAAACATAAGGCCCGGGGGCCAGATCCAGCCCTCCAAGACCTTTAATGTGGCCCTTGGGTGATTTTTTACTAAAATATTTAAATTATTTTTTCTATTAAAATATTGGTAATTTTCTGCGGTGCTTAGCATAGCAGCATCTCCAGCGCCTCTGTACGTGGCCCCTCCCACCAGAGCAGCACAAATGAAGACTTTTCTCTTTCCAAACGCTCTTAAAGGACGATCGTTTTGACTGTTGACTGTGAAACCCTCATCTGCAAAATGTCCAAAATGAGAAAAGTGGACACAGAGTGCAGGATTTTCCAAGAAAAATTGACTTATTCCTGTTTGCATACAAGTTAATGTTAAAACATTGTGTTGAAATTGAATATTTCTTAAAGTTTCAGGTTGTTCATAATATTATAATAAGAAAGAGTTCATCAATTATAAAAGATTTCTGTAATAGATTTGCGTTTCTCTGCACAAATATTTGAACTTATTGTTATTTTTGGGGTATATATGACATGAGTTTTCTGATCCGGCCCCTTTGGGATCAAAGTAGGTTGGATACGGCCCCCAGACCAAAATGAGTTTGACACGTCTGCTCTATACAGTCATACACAGCCCCACCTGACACTGGGGGCAGGCCTGGTGCAGCTCCGGTCGCACTTTGCACAGCTCCGGGTGTGGGAGACTGAGTCCTGGGTTGCCACTGAGCCTCCTCGCATTTTGTTCTGCAGTCTCAAGAGCCCGTAGGCAGTACTCACAGGCTACAAATATCATACAAGAGGAAGACTCATTAGATCTGAACCAGTGACAAATTATTCATGCAACATTAACAACCGTTTATATACCAGATTGTACATATTAACACACATACACTCACCTTTATATTTATAGAGGGCATTCCACAGAAACTGGGCTGAGACAAGAGGGCGTTCGATAAAAATGGTCTCCCCCTTTTTAATACTCTTTTTGGCAAAGAGCCCCTTCCCCTAAAAAGCAAGTTACATGAGGTTTTAAGAAGTGCAACACGGTAGCCTAAAGCAATAAAAGTCTGACCAAAATAACAAGTAGGCTATAGGTAAATAACTTTAACAATACAATTCACCAAAGTTTAGATTCTTACTATAACAGAATCACAAATATACTCAGCTCTGACGCCTTGAAAGAGGTGTGTAAATCAGGGTGACCAGATGTCCCATTTTAGCCGGGACAGTCCCAGTTTTGAGCCCTGTGTTCCCTGTCCCAGCAGATTTATCCAGAACTGGTGATTTGTCCTAGTTTTATGCAAGAAATGTCCCAGATGTCCCTATTTTTGACCAACTTGATCTCTGCCAACAGTAAAGAGAGGCACATATTGTGGTTTGTTTAACTAAAATAAAGAGTGCTTGAAAATGATCATAAGGGGGGGGAAAAAAAAGCACCACCAGAAGTCCCTCAGATTATGACTGACCCACAAGTGAGTCGAGAAAGGACAATGTTACATGTTCTTTTCACAACTGTATTTATACAAAACCATCCAACCCGGGTATGTCCCAGTTTTGAAATTTGAAAATCGGATCACCTTAGTGTAAATATAAAACGATTCAATCCTAGCAGAGAGGTGAAGTTGCTGCTAGGTAACCAGACTATTCAAGAAGTAGTGCCTCAGTCTCGCCCATTACGGAACCAGGAGCATGAGGCAGAATGGAAACATGAAACTAATAAACAGGTGTATATGTGATGGGGTGATGGGCACTACTTTAGGAGTCAAAACTGAAACAGACAACAAAATTAGGGTGACCAGATAAAAAACAAAAAACAAAACTGGGACATCCCTGGTTTGGGGTGGTTGGTGATAATAAAATGGTGAAATAAGTGTGTAATTAAGAAAATTGTTAAGCACTTTGCACTAATGAGTCTGTATAGTCGCATTTTCTTTGAGTTATGGTCATTTTTAAGCAGTTTTTCTGTATTTATCTAAACAAATTACAATTTATGCCTCTCTTCGCTGCTGGCAAGAATCAAACTGATCAAAAATTCTTTGTATAAAACTGGGAAAAATCTATGTTTTTTGTATAAATCGACTGGGACAGGGGACACAGGGCTCAAAACTGGGACTGTCCCGGGTAAATAGGCACGTCTGGTGATCCTATTAAAATATAATTACAAAAATGATTACTACGAAATGTTTGTAGGTATTTTTTTTTTCGTTTGAGCCTAACAAATGTAAAATATTTTAACTTTAGAAATCACGATGATGCAGAAGTTTCCCATCACCGGGGTTCGGAGGATGAGGACGCACAGAGCAGCCAAACAAACGAACACGTTTAATACCTCACGTGCAAAACAATAACACGTGTTTATCCCACGAGCCTACGGTACGCATCTGTTTACCTTGATGTGGTCGATAAATCGGATCTCCACAAAGCTAGAAACTTTAACGGGATCCACGCACAGCGAAAACATGTCATCCACGGGGGCCGCCATGTTGGATGACGCGACCTTTTCCCTTTCAACCCTGGCTGACCCTTGTATTAAAGTCTGCGGAAAGAAAGTGGCGACATCTGGCGGACAAAATGTGAACAGCCCCTTATAGGATTGTGAAATAATAAAGGCTGTATTCATTGTTGTTAGAGGTTCAAAAAAAAAAAAAAAAAAAAGATATCTTATCGTGATGATACAGTATCGATATTGTGGGTTATCGTGCTGTATCGATATAGCACCAAGAGTATTTCTGGGTATATTTTACTAAATTATTTTGTTACAGCGCTTCAGCTTTGTTGTTCGTACAAAAGAAGGAAACTCTGACATATTCACGGTTTTGATGATTAAAATGGGCCTGTTCCATATTCACTTTGCACAAGAAGTGGTTTAGCAAGACTTTTAGTATCACAGCCATTATTTATTTATTTTATTAATTTTTTTTTTTAAATTGAACCGTATTGAATTGATTTGAAATATATCGTATTGATTCGATAGCTCACTGTATCAAAATATGTATTGTTTCATAGCTTATGTATCGAGGTGTGTATCGTATCGGCAACTTCTGGATGATACCCAGCCCTAGTTGTTCTTCTTTGTTTAAAGGTTCACTGTGTAACTTTTCTGGTGGACAGTCATCTGCCATCTACTCTGATCTGTGGAGAGGCAATGAACTTACAATCAGAATGCTTATGGTATTTTCAGCTTTTAAAACAGTAATTGAACAAATGCAAGATGTTTAATAATGACCTAAAGCAGAACAATCCAGGCAGGAAAAGCAATAACACCAACAAGAAGACAAGGAAATGTGTAGAGGAGCCCCCACTAGAAAAGTTACATAGTGTACCTTTGATTTGTGTACTAAGATAAAGCCTACAGACAAATCACGTAATGCAAAAATATCAGTCACAAAGGATTAAAAGTGAGAAAAGCAAATGATGCCTTTATTGGATAGTTTCTTTGCTTTACATATTCCATTAGCAAATATTATACAAATTTGTCAAGTTTATTACACAAAAATACAAAATAAATCCTGTTAGGTAGTATACGTAGATAAATTCATAAGGGTTACATTGGTTTTAAGATCAAGCCTTATTTATTATTATTTAATTTCAATTATTTTATAGAGAAGTAGGCATATAGCATATATTCGGCTACAAAATAAAACAAGTACCGCCATGTTTTTACTATTCACATAAATTGGTTTATTATAGCTTGCAGTCATATGCCATAATGCAGCATGTAGCCTACACCGCAGTCCCAGTGTTTGGCCACTTGAACACCCTAGAATTCCCTTCATTAAAAACAATAAATCAAAGTATACATTAGTATTGCACATATCTTTCTGCAGGACAACTATTGCTCCTGGCTTGCATGTACATTTGTGGTTCTTGTTGGTACATGATATGGGGTCACAGTATAGAGTAGACCCTTAAAAATATAATGTCATCAGAATTCATATCAAAATGCTATAATAGAGGCAAAAATATGAAGATCATGAAAGAAATCACATCAGATGAAAATGATGATGTTCTATGATTTATAGCAATCAATAATATTTTTGAATTTCTGGGGTTGAAATGTCAATTCATGTCAGAAAACTGAACTATTGTACGGTCAGCATTTCTGTTTTGTATTTATAATATTTTTCTATAAAAACAAACAGGCTAACATACACAGGCTCTGATATCACTTATATATATCTGAGTGATTATTTGCCTAAACCACCTTGATTTTGAAATTGCATCATGTTCATGTTTGCTTCCTCGTGCCTCCATCCCATGAATTAGAATGCATTTATTTACAAATTTTTAAAGGGTCTATTAGCAGCTGACTTGGAGAAATTACACAATATTGACTTACTGTGTGTTTACTGTTCTTCAAACGGCTATGAACTGATATGAGAATGTTAATCCAGTAGTAGTAAACAATGTTAAATGGCTACAGACACTGGTTTAGTTGGCACATAGTAGTCTTAACTGTATATAGTCTGCAACAGTACATGTTTAACAGTTCACTGTATTAAAAAAAAACTAGCCTCCTTTCACTTGTGCTGCTCACTGTCTGTTTTCTCTTCTTCTCACACACCCACCATCCATCACAAACCCTTGTTGTAGGTCACCACCTTGCAATCAGTTGCCATGGCAATCTCTGGCTCAAGGCGAGACACCTCAATCTGCAAGAAAGGAAGAAAAGAAAGACTAGAATTAGAGCTGTATTCACTTACATGTGTTCCTGCCATAGCCTGTTTTTGACATAATTATCAGTGGATATAGTGACATCTGGTAAAAGGGGTGAACCTAGGCTTATGGGCAGAATTTGTGCATGTTTAGTGGTCTATGTATAATGTGAATGTCTGCAGCTGCTCCCTTAACCCATCTGGCCGTGTATGTTTTTTTTTGTTTTTTCTTTTCTGCCCTTTGCTGTACCTGGGACATCTGCGGGAACAGGCTGATGGCCACAGGCAGAGACAGGCCAAAGGTAACCAGGCAGACTACACTGTGGATGGGGAGCAGCAGCCGTCGGTTCCTCTGAAGGAATCGGAGCCTGGGTAGAACAAAGGAACACGTGGTGAGTCAAGCTGTCGATAGTGGAGCTGCGTGCTGTGGGGGTCTGAGACTAAAATAAAGCATATTACGAAATTACTGGGTATGATTTTTTTGTGTCTGTGCAGCTCAGATTTTCTTTGTAGTTTTTCTTTTTGTATTTTTCTGCCCCAAAGTTTGAGATTTCACTATTTCAATTCACTTTATTGAATGTTGGAGTCTATTTCAGTTATTTGTATCTGCTTGACAACCATTTCAATTATTACATATATGGTTAATATTTATAGCATCAATCAACTTAAAGGTCTTATATTACGTATAATAGTCTTTTTGAGCTTTAAGCCATGTTACCTCATCAAACACATACCTTGGGTTGTGTTTTCATTCACACATGTGAGTAACCCTTAATTATTAGTCTGGCTGCATCCCCAAAGCTAAAAATGGTTTGTGCCACCTTGTGATGTCATGAAGTGGTAGTTAACAACTACCTTTTACTTTTAGTTCAGTAGAGATTGCAGTTTCAAGACTGAAATTATCTAAATTATTCTAGTGAAGGTGTATGGCATTTAAAAACACAACAGAGCACTTCCTGTACAACCGCATGACGTCAGAAGGTGAGGTGTATTCTGTTTGAGAAAAGAACATGGCCTAAATAAGCAGGGACTGTGTGTTAAACATGTGTGACTGAAACAAAACACAACTACAAAGGTATGTTTTAGATGAAGACACATTATAACATACTGTATATTAAAAAAAACAAAAAAAAAAAAAAACTTCTAATATAGGTTTTAATTTAAAAGTTGCACCATGTAACATTTCTTGAGGAAGGTCCACTTCCGAATTGCCTGTTATTACTTTGCCTCAAATGTTACACGCATTTAAATTATCTATCTCCATGGAGACAAACAGGTGGGGTCGCGTTAGGTTAGATCTGTGGGGATAAGAGTCTGCTCACTGTGAGAATGCACGATTTCAAGGTGCATTATTTCAAGACACTTTGATATTTCATTTTCTTAAGCTATACTGTTCAGCATTCCATACTAAAAGATAACATCTCCATGTAGAGCAGAATACAAAAGTGACATTTGCATTTCTAAAAAGGTCAGATTGAACTATTTCAGTTGTGATAGATTTGTTTTTATCATGCCATAAGTTAATTTTCAGGACAGTATAATAACATCAGTAAAACATGCTGTGCAACATCTGTGAACTATATCTTTCACTTTAATTGAATTACTACAGTTGTTCTCTTTTTCTCTCATTTTCACTAGAGCTTGTGTTGTGTCCTACGGGAAAGCAATAAGTTCACATATTGAAATCTGTACCCCCGCTTCCTCACATGTACACGGTCCAGTGACTATACATGGTTCTTTCTGTGTCAGTTCTAATTAAAACATAATCAGTGTGCCGCAGACCTCTCTAGGTAAGACATGATGATGGGAGGGAGGACAAAGATGGGCATCGGCAGCACCACTCGCGTGAAGGCTGTCTCCATGATCGCCTGTGGATCCAAATGAGAACATTGTGCACATGCTTCAAATCAGTGCCAAGAGACATAATTTCATTTTCACTTGGACAAGACTATCATGAAACAGTATCACAATTCCAATTTACTGGAATATTAAATGCAATCAAGTAACAAATCTGCAGAGTATGCACAAAGCGGTTATCTCACATGTCTGGCTGCGATTCTGGATGCGCCCACCACATTGCCGTTATTATCCAGGACGTCAATACCCTCGGACAGCTCATTGTGTCTCATCAGGCCCACGTTGCAGATGTTTGCGCTGGCTGGGGACAAGAGTAGAAGATAATAGGTTTTAAAATTAATTACAAATCAGTGAACTAAAAAGCGGGTGGCAAAACAATAGGTCTTGATTCAAACGAGGTGCTTGAAAAACCCACCTACAGCTGGGAATGGCACCAGTCTTTGAATGATCATTCTAGTGGCAGGGTTCAGTCTATGGGCCTTCTCGATGAGCACATTTAGTCCCACCTTGGAAATAAAAACAAAGCTGCAGATTTTCATAGTTTTAGCATCTTTGTACTAGCGGTGGGTGATAATTAAACAAATGGACACAAATGTATATCTCAGTATTTACTGCATTATCACAAATTTGATAATCTGATATTGTTGCTTCCAAAATCTACTGAAAAGTGCCTGTTGTTATAGTTAGGTGTGTCACAATAAAGCATTTTAGAGTTGATAATTGTGTAAAGAAATATCACAATTTGATTAATATTTTTGATAATATGCCAAACATCTGTGAAATCCTTAATACACTTTCATTTCTGCCAATCACCATTCTTCTTATATGTGACGGGCATCAAGAAATCAAACTTACTGAAGTTATTGTGACATACACAGTCAGTAAAACACATTACATTTAGCAAATAGATTAAATTTAAATAAATTAACATAGAAGTCTTGACTTTCCTAATCATATTTGAGGTTTAAAGGCCCTGTACCAGCTTTTTTTCCCCCATGTTGGCTATTTGAGCAATTATTTTTTATCCTGGTATAGATATATTGTCTAAGCAAATCTTCAGGTCAAAATTAGATGCCTCTGATTAAATTATTGTCTGAAAATCAGGAAGTACATGTTAGCTTGCTAGTTGTTGTTGTTAGCTCTACCATCATGGCAAATACTTATTATGGCTAATAATTAGGATACTCAGAAAGCATGAGGAATAGTTTGGACCACTGCAAATGTTTAAAAGAAAGTAGTTCTGTTTTTCACGGTTTTGGGCACTAAAATTTTGGTACAGCGCACAAAAATGAATCAACATAAATATCACTGTATACTCATGACCACCATTTTTTATATAGATTATATACCTGATATCCTAAAGCAAAACATTTTTATTACATCCCACCTCTACATTTTTTGTTACATTTCACAATGCAAACGAGTGGTTAAGACGAACTCACTGCTATAGAGACCGCACTGGTAACAGCTCCAACATACCCCTGGAGAAACTTGGACGTCGGTGTAGGCTGAGAATGGATGACAACATAATCATTACTATAGAATTACTTAAAATATTAATAATAGACTAGGAATTGCCTCGTACCTTTGTAGCATTACGATTTGCATAGTTCACACAGGCATTGTGACTTTGGTTCAGCCACTATATTGAGAAGATAAAGACTTTTGAATCATTATGAATATGATTTGTATGTTTAAAATACTTTATTCCACTGTCGACACACTTTATAACTGAATAAAAGTGCATTGACTAGAAGCTCTGGATGGATATAAATGTAATGACTGTACAAAATCAGCTTTGTCACAGTACCTGCCATATAATGGTAGACAGCACAGTCTGATTTGGCAGAAGAAGGCCTATGACCTAGATGAAACCAGGAAACAAGAGCTTATTTTGCACAAAATAAGTCTACAGTCTCATTTCATCTATTCTGCTCACATGGATATGTTATGGATATCTGTGCATGAGTTTGGCTGGAACTTACTATTGGAGTTCCAAATGGGACATAACCTGCACAGTGAAACATGGACTCAGAGTTGATCAACAATGACTAAATGGAGAGCCTGGTCAAAGATCTTCATCGTCTGTGGTCATACCTGACATACGGAATGGCATGAAGATCTTCTCCCCTGTGTCAGGATGAATGATGGCCTGCAGCAGAGAGCATGACATCATCCTCATGCTGCCAGGAGCTCAGGGCTGTGTACTGTATGGAGGTGCACAGTTCACATGGAGAGTGAGGACCTACCTGCTTGATCTTCTGAGCCTCCCACAGCTGCAGGGGCAACAACAACATGCACACCTCATTACTGTTTCACTCCGTCTCTGTATCTCACAGTGTTACAACGTCAGCTGTGATTACTGCACATGACTCCCTTCCTGTGATGACACTAGGCCTGTCATGATAACACGTTTAGGTACTTGTAAAGACAAATCTTTTCTCTGGTGGTACTTGGTGAGAAAAGTGAGCGTCAGTGCTTTTTTAGTAGTTAGATTGTATCTGTATTGAATCATAGCTGTTTTCTATACCACTGTCTTGAGAACAGAGAACTGCAATAAATACATAGCAGAATTAAATACTTGCATTGTGTAACTTTTCTGGTGGTGGGTCCATCAAATGCTTTTCTCCATGGAAATGTATTATTTAGTCTGGAATGTTTCACTGTATAGCATTAAACCTTCTATCTTCACTGAGATCAAACCAGACCACGTTACAGGTCAGATCTGTGAAGAGGCAATCCCACTCACAGTCAGAATGCCTGTTTTTTTAGGTATTTTTGAGATGCAATTGAATGACTGTACAATGTCATAGTGTGGAACATTTCAGGCAGAGCAATGTCATATCCTTAGAAACAAGCAGGTGATGGAAACTCCACCAGAAAAGTGACAGAATGCACCTTTAAGTAGTTAGTTTGTATCTGTAATAAGTCAATGAAGTTTATTATTCAACCTTTTATGACTTATATCTTATTGTATAGCAAGAAATAACCACAGATGTCTCCCTAGTGCAAAGAAAAAGCACCCATCATAAATACTGATTCCAAAAAATATTGTTACATCTAACATATATTCAAAGTCAATATAGTAATTATCGTAACCGGCCTAGTCTACATCTCAAATCTGATTGTAGTACAGAAAAATAACAATAATAACAAGATAAATGATGAAAATAAATAAATAAATAAATAAATAGCTGAGATGTCACGTCACATTTTACACTCACGCACCTGATCATCAGACACTCCAGGTGGAACAATGCCGTTTTTAAAATCATTTAGAAGCTTGAGGCTGGCTTGTAGCTGTTTCTGCATTCAAACAAAAGAACAGAGGTGACAATAAATACACTATTCAGTTATTAACTTTCTACCATTTTTAAGCATATGTTTTACCTCTGAGACAAACAGTGTGGTGGGGTCAATGATGTCGATGAAGTGTCTCAGCCGGCCAAGAAAGGAGCCCTTTAAAGCAAGACCAAAAGAGTACATTTAGTTTAACATTACATTAAGTTAGTTTTATATGAAAACTATATTTTAATTTTGCGCCAACAAGTAACACTTCCAATAATAGAACAAGAAGGTGCAAACCTGGGCACTGAAATGGCTATACCTGCATTATCATCATTAATCACTTTTTCTTTAGTTCCTCTCAGTAATGTATTTTCACATAAGGTCTAGTGTATTGTTTATTAAGCTCTGCATACATTAAGGTTGTCAAATGCATTGATATCCAGATATAAATCAACACTAAAACTATTACTGAAACATGATACTCAGCTGAACAAATGGTGAGAGATTAAAATCACACAAAAAATGATGGAGAAAATTGTCCTCAGTAGTTTTTTTCAGAACTAGTATAAGAACGCACACACATTTCAAACACCTGCTATTATTTTGAGTTGGAAAACACATTGTATTATCAAATTGTCAAAAATAGCTTTTTTATTATTGTAGAATAGAAATCTGCATTGTGTATTAAGTCTTTTCAATGGTGTTAAAATCTTTTTTTTTTTTTTACTAACACCAGTACACACTAATATGTAATTCATAATCCATCAATACAGAAACATCATTTGATCATCATTATAAATCAGAATATAATCTATCTTCATTTCTTTAAGTATATCTAAGCAATCCAGTCTTCCTGTTTTTTTTCTGCTACTTACAGGTTCCTCTCAGTGTGTGAGCAGCAAACAAAGCATGCCAATGAGTCTGGACAGGCCCACGTCCAGCCCCAGTCAAGAGTGTTGCTCAGAACACTTCAATCTGATTTTTTTTTTTGTATGCGTTTTTTTACTTTTATAAAGGCCAGGAAATGTAGCAAAATGTATTTAAAAGAAAGTCTTTTTCTCAATGTTTATTTTTGTTCATTAATGTGGAAAATATTTTGTATTATGGTTATTGTGATGGTTAAAAAAAGATTAAGCTTAAGTGAATGGTAGTTTTACTCATAAATAATCCCTACTAACCTGTTCTCTTGACACATGTTTTAGAGTCTGTCAGACCAGTCTACCTAGTCCTCAACTACAAAATTTGAAGACAGATTTTTGCACATTTATTTTGGGCTGAAATAATATCTTCTGAATGCCAGTATAGGAATTCCCCCAAAAAGAGAACAGACTATAGAGGGACAGAGGAGCTCATTCTGCAACAGGCTCCTACAGCTCCACTTAAACAGTGAGAGATATATAACTATATTTTATACCATACTCTATACAACTGCACAACAATTCACCTTTATATAATAGATAACCCTGTCAATCATTATTTCATCTTTGCACTGTCTTTCCTTACGACCTCTTGTTTATAGCTGATATATTTTTTTATTACTATATTTCTCTATTTTATTTTTCCTTATGTTTTGTTTGACACCAGTCTCTTGTTATTTTTGCTACTCATATAGAATTTATTATCATTTATATATTTTTCTCTTTGGTATTAATATTATATTGTGGTGTGTGAGCTACTGTGTCCAAATAATTTCCCTTGTGCATCAATAATGTTTGTCTAAGTCTAAATAAAAAAAAAACATTGAGATCCTAATTTTGCCAGTATCGCCCACCCGTTCTTGGAGGTCTGGCTCTGTGATGGGCTGTATGTGCTGCAGAGCTGTTTTGTGAGTGTGAGATCCATGTGAGGAGGCCTCTTTAATTATGCATGAGCCTGAGCTCCCCAAGGAGTGCAAAACAAGGCCAGGCGAGAGGGGAGCGCAATGAGGGGAGCCATTGACAAATACCCCTACATTTGTGCTGATTCAAATACCAGCCCATTTACTAGTAAACTACACTAATCCACAAGATTCAAAGTATTATGTGTTATAAAATTTGGAAAGGTGGAGAAGATTTTATGCAATGATTTACTAAATGTTTTGATAATAGAGAGAAAAAAAATGTCTCAGAGGGAACACAAAAATCACGCATGTACTGAATGGTTAGGTGAAGTCTGCAGGGTCCAGAACAATAATCTACCCACAGGATCAGCCTATTTTTGATCATGTCAGTGCACATTTAAATAGTCCAATTGTATATACTTAACATACATTGACAATTCACATTACTTGGTGAAGATTGCTATTTTGTTCCAGTAGTTAGGTTTTGTTAACAAATATACCATCTGTGCACCGTGAATAAATCCATGCATTAGTTCTACTTTTACATTAAAGATTAGAATTAGTGTTTTGTTATTTACTCAGTATGTAACTTTTAAGCCAAAGACATTGACTAAAACAAGAACATGTTTTATTAATTTGGTTTGAAAAACATGTGAGCAGGCTTGCATCTCCACACACCTGACTATTTATTTGACCTGGAGGAAGCCACCTACTGTTTATTGAAATGTTCCTTTGGCTATAATCGTCCACAGTATGGCATCAAAATCTCTTTGGAGAATGCTCCAAAGTATCGCTTTAACTTTCTTTATTTCCATGGCATCATGCAGGTGCCACATGTACAAAGTTACATACCGAGACAATAGCGAAATGTGATTTAAAGTTATGTTTAGCATTGCTGGTGTTATATGTTTATGTAAAAAATATGCTTTTGAGCAGGTAAATGATTCCCTATTGACATTTTACAAGAGCATCCCTGAGCATAAATGTGTAACTACAGTGTAGTGTCCACGCTGCAGCCTCTGTAAATGTGATATCTGTATAACGTGAAGGTCACTTTCTAGTCCAGAGCTGACCACGACCAACGCAAATGCATGTGTGGGTACACAGGGTAAAGGACTAATAAGTGGTGGGCTTGGAGAAAAAAATACAGCACTAACTCAGCATGTTAATCTCCTGCGCTGTTGCCAAATTGCAGGAGAAGAAAATGTTACAAGTTTATCAATTTAAATGACAGTAGAATAGAGAGAAAACACAAAGCGGGCACTTGATGTTCAAGGTGTTCTGATGATATAATCTGGTAAGAGACAATAGGATAAGGATTTGACAAATACCCTTCACAACGCGCGCATTTGCCATAAACGCACTAATTAAATTACCGCCAACTTCAAACTAGTGCCCAAGTTGTTGTTTTCCATAAGAACAATGTTTAGACAAAGAAGAAAGGTTCGCACATGTAGAACTTTGAGCAGAACCAGAGCGGTACAACCAGGGCGGAGGGCGCTGTTTTTTTTTTTTTTTTTTTTTTCGTCCAATTTTTGTCCAAATGTGATTTTCGCTTGATGAACAGAGGATAGAGAGCACTTACCTGGTCGTACCGGGATCTTTCCAGCTGGAAAGCAGGACACACTGCAGATTCCGCCATGACACCCAACTATTTACTTATTAATGAACCGAATCATGGACGGGTTGTTAACTACAGCGAACTACATCCAATGTGGAACTAGTGAAGAAACGAGCCGCTACGTCAGCTGGGATGTGTAGTCCTCGGGCTCGCGATAGTCCGCCACAAAACGCATGGCTCCACTATCTCCACACAGGATCGATATGGGTTGTCGCTATTGTTGCGTAACAGTTCGGATTGATCTCGGGCGAGATAAGAGTTGATTGGTCCATTAATTCATATGTGTGCGGAGAGGTGTGGCCTGGAGGAGGATGTTTGCACAGTGATGCTCTGACCGCGCTGCGCTCAGGTGCAAGTGACTGGAGGCTGCTAAGAAACATGGTTCATAATAAATTATAACCTCCAACATCGCATGGACACATTTATTATACCACCAGGGTCACAGGCAGAAGTCCCAAAGGCAGTGACTGGCATGATATATAGGCGAGTGTACAGTGGAGCAGCAATAGTTAGGTTTTTCTCAGCTCTTAGGGCACAAAAGCCATTACAACAGTGTCTAGGATGTCACGGAAGGCTTTATACGTCTCTATAGCCTATCTAACCTTTTGGGCCCCTGTTTCCTCACTTATTTAAAATAATTAATATAAAAATAATTCCGTGTGTTTTCTCAACTACTTTCCACCCAATAAAAATAGGTTCTATAAAATCACCTACTTACATGACACCATATAACACTGTAGATAATAATAGCGGTTTCCATAGATTGGCACATAATTTAAAATGAGCTACGGGTTCCCTCTAGTGGACAGGAACATGCACTACAGCCTTGTTCAAATAGGTTGTGTTGCTTGTGGATTGGTAATTATGAGAGATCAGGTTGATTCTTGTGTACTTTATTTAATACAGTACTGTGGTCAGGGCAAGCCTTGCAATTTGAGCGGTGGTACTGAGACAACATGTGATAAAACTGAAAAACAAAAAAAACATGGAAATTATTTGCTACAGTGGAGTCTTGTGTTGCTACATCATATAAAACTTAGCATAACTATAAAATTTAACATAACGTTTTATGTATATATTTATATTTATATGTGAAGAAATAAATCTTAAATTCACAAAGTGCAAATAATATTAAAATACTTTGGCTTCCCATTCATTTCAGTTAATCAAGTACAATGAGACACCCTGCTTTTTTCACTACACAAACATAAACACACAATTTAAATTCTAAGGAGCTGCTCAAGTCCAACACAACCAGACAGCCAACCCAAACATCAGCAGAAGAATTACAGAAAGATATCTATACTGGTCTTTTACTTTATGCATAGCAGCAGGTAGTAAACAGCTAATGATGAACTGATTCTACTAAGCTTGGGTATAATGAGTGCGTCTGCTTGCATTGAAGTAGGATATTTCTTTTATGTCAAATTAGCAGTTAGCTGTAATTGACCAGCATGCATATTTTCTGTGTCTGTAGTGTGTGTAGTAGTATCCAATTTACAAAGGCAGTATTTGTGGTGAGGAAACCTGGAGAACTGTGAAATCATGTTTGTGTTGCTTTTGTTTTCAGCAACACCAGTTTCCAATACCTTTGATCTGACTTGTACCACATAAAAGATGCACTATGTAACTTTTTTGGTGGGGAGTTGAACCTCTGTTGTCACCAGTCTCCATGGAGATGTAGTCACTGTATGATGTATGCTCAATAATACCTTGAAAGACAAGCATTGTTACTATAAGTGCAGTCATCTCTCCACAGATCTGACCTGGGTGGGTGGTCATTTGCTTGTAATAAAAATAAAAACCTTAAAAACTTCAGCAGAACCACAAGATGACTAAAAATCTAACTGATATATGAATGGATATAATTAGGTTATCACAACGACTGCAGTTTTACCATAACTTCCCTCGCAAAGAAAAAATATCTGGTCTTATTCTGCAAAAAAAACTAGTTTAGATCTGTACAAATATATTCTGAAATGTGATTCTTGTCTTAGATTGTTAGTTCATTCTTCAGTCTTTTAGTCAATTCTTCTGGATGAGTTTGAAATGTGAATTTTTAACAGAATTATCAAAAAAAAAAAAAAAGTATATTTTCCTCAAATCATTCGGCCTTGTAGGTAATAGACTCTGCACCAGAAAAGTTACAAAATGCATCTTTAAGAGTGCATCTTTCAGAGTCACTTATGCCTGGTGCGCACTTGAAGCAGAGTAGGTGTTTGCTCCATGATCCTCAGCAGCAGATTATCGATGTAGTCCTCCAGATCTCTGACCTGTGCTTTGACCTTTCTCAGTTCAGCCTCGCACTTCTCGAGCTGAGAGGCCTGACGCTCTGAGGCCGCCTGCTGCTTCTGCATGTCCATCTCCTGCTGCAGCAGCAGAGAGATCAGCTCCATGTTGGTCATATCCTGGTACTGGGACACGTCCACCAGCACCTGAACAGCACGAGGAGGACAGGTGAATGGGGGAACACAAGACCTATCAATGCTTTTTCACACTTTGATACATCACAAAGTTATTACTGCTACATTAGGTTGTGATTAAATAAAAGTCAACCTATTAAATATAATTGAATTATAGTACTCACTACATCATTTCACATGAACTATTTTAAAAGGACAGTATGTAATAATTGAATTCCAAAAGTTCATAAACAGAACCTAAATGTGTCCTCAGAAAAATGGTAAACATGTTCAAATCAAATTTAGCTTTTACTGATGTAAAAATGTAGTGCTGATTTATTCTTAACTGTAAAAAAAATGGGCCATGACGGTCATGTTGTTTATGTTATAATTTGGTGTTTTTGTTCTTGGGACAATTATCTAATCAGAAGCAGAATGAGCCTCACTTGGGTCTCTCATTTGGGTTGCCAGTTTCATTGCTGAACTGCAGTTGAATTGCAGAATTACTGAATTGCAGTCGGTTTAAACCTAAAATGTTTCCCTCTAATCTGAATGATCACTACCTAAACCCCAATCCCTGCAGCCAATCATGAATCAGTGCTAGTGCAGCTCAGTGAGTGAATTTAGTTTCAGTTTCAGTTGTGATTGTTTTTTTTTTTTTTTTTTACAGGAGAAGCACAGGTTACATATAGTTCCTTTAATATGAGTTACATAAGTGGAAGTCATTCTGGGTTCCTAAAACAAAACTCCACTCCACTGTAAATACGTTACGACACTGAATCTTTGTATAGTGTTTTTTTTTTTTTTTTGTTTGTTTTTTGACATTACCGGAGTCTTCTCAGGTTCAGCTGAGGCCTGTTGGGGCACCCTCCCTGGGCTAATTGTGGACTTAAGCATCTCCAGAACTGACCGACCCTCCTTCTTCTCTGATTGGCTGGATGTTAATGGCTTCACTGGGTGAGTTCTGCAAAGTCAGTATGTTAGTGGATGTAGTTGTTACATATCCAGGTGTTGAACATGTACACACACTCACATAGATAAATATGAGCTACTGAATGAAATATGCTTTTGCAAATAAATAATAGAACAATCTATACATTTCAATTTCCAATTTCTGAGCTTATACACATAACTGATATTAGATAATTATGTACATTTGTCATTTACAGTCTTATAGTAGCAAAATAGGTGTAAGAAAGCCAAAAATATATCATTTTAAAACCAAAAGCCAAGAACTGTGCAGCACATAGCATCCAATATTTTGGATGCAAAGGGCAAACTTAAAATGTCAAACCAGCCAGGCCACGAGCAAACAAAGTTTCAAAGTGATGCAAACATATTCTTTTAAAATGGTTATTCTTAGCATGTGTCTTGTGCTACGGCGCTCACCTGCTCTGTGGATGGGACAGGCTGCTAGCTGGCTGTGTCTCCTCAGGCAAAAGTGATTGGTGTGCATCAACCAGGGGCCGCTCAGAGGTGCAGGAGGTGAAGGTGGTGGGGCCCTTAGGTGTAGGCCCCATGACTGAAGTGTCAAAGCAGGGGCCATGGACAGAGGGGGGACAAAGCTTAGCCTGGTGCTCAGCTGTCAGCGAAAGTGCAGGGGGAATGGGAGGAGACGGCTCAGACAAAATCCTAGAAAGTGTTCTCGATGCAGGAGCGACTTTGGCATGGAAATCTTCGAAACTCATCAGTGAATCCTTTTTAGCACTATTGTTTTCAATAGATGGCTCTGCTGCCAATTTTTGCCCACTTTTCTTGATGTTATTCACTAGCATATCAATCTTTTCATCTAAAGCTTTCATACTACATAGAGCTGATCTACGGGGTTGGTATGACAATGGCCCTTCTTGGGAGATATTTTGAACTAGTGACAAAAACTGCTCAAACTCGCCTTCTCCATGTTTGATCTGGTTAATTGGACTGCAACTTCTACTGTTTGCATTAGAGAATCCTTTGGGTCTTAAGCGTGCGCTAACTACCTTTCCTTGTAAGTTTCCATTATCATCAGTAGAGGTTTGCGTTGTTTTTAGATCATTGTCTGTTTTGTCTAATTTGCATTCAACATTAGCCGTCACTGTATCTTTGACATTTGAGTTAAGTTCTACATTCTGGAAATCACAAAGGCAGTCTTGGCAAGTGTCTGGACCTATCGAGGAGATATTGGACAGTGTATTCGTTGATATTTCAAATGAGGAGTTCATCTCAGGAATGTAGGTGTCCTTCAAATGAAACACGTCTTCTGGATTGGTCCGTGGAGGCTCTGGAATACTTGCTTGTAATGTCCTGCCTAGACCGTTTTGGCCTTTGTAAAGATCACCAATATCAGAGTGTGAAGATGCGTCGGAATCAATGAAACCAAAATCACAGTTATTCATGTTCAAATCACCTAAAGTTAAAGAAAATGAAATATTGTTGTTCAGGCATGTTTCAAGAGGACTTTGTGGGAAGTCTAGAGTTTCCTCAGTTGATGGAGGAGTGCAGTCTATTAAAGGTACATCAACTTTAGGAACGAAAGGTGGCATTTCCAAAAGGTCAGCATCTGGCATTTCACCATCAAGGGGCTTTGTAGATCCATTCGTTTTTGAAACCGTCTTCTCTGCAGCTAATATCTCACTTCTCAGAGACAGGTGGTTATTTGCCGGAGTTGGGAAATAATTCCTTGTGCACAAACGCCCAAACAGGTCCTCTTCGAAAAGCATCCCACCCCAGCAGTCGGAATCATCTTGTAACGGTTCATACTTTAACTTCTCTTCAGTTCGAGGTTGAATATTGGAACTCTTGCTGCAAGGTGGTTGGATCTCCTTCGAGACACTGGGCGCATTGTGTTTGATTTCTAGTTCTCTTCCACGCTGGAGACAAGCCACACCAGTCTGTGATAGCAAGTAGGCTTCTTTGTGCACAGCTAGCTCTTGGCCGCGATGCAACCAGCCATCAGAGAAGATCTCATTGACCGGCGTTTTGAGGAGTCTTCTTGGAGGCAAAGGTGGAGGTTCAAAGGATTGGATCTGGTCTTGCGTGTGGATAGTTTTTGCGGTTTCCAATTTATGGCTAGGTGCTGTTTGACTTTGAGAATGGCTTTTGGGAGAAGTGAGCCTACTAGAGGCAAAAACATCAAACGATTCCTCCCATTCTTCTGCACTCTCCGACATGGAGCGAGGGCCAGTGGGGTTGGATGCTTTAGGGAGCAAAGCAGGAAGCGATGTCTGCCTAGGTACTGGCTTGGGGCGGTCACGCTTTATGGACGCTATGATCGCGGTTTCATTATAAGAACCGGATGCGTGGGCCTGAGATGGTACAGTGGTATAATGAAAAGGGGAGGTGTCAGACAGTGAAGAGGGCGTGAATGGGGGACTTTGGGTGTCGATTAGCTCTTCAAAAAATGGGTTTCGCTGCAGGTGGGGGAAGAAGGGATTGGACGGAGAGAGCGGGGTGGTGGATGGAGAGGAGGAGGGAGGAGTGGTGAAGGGGTTAACGTGGGTTCCTTCTAACGGAGACACGGGAGGCAGGGGGGGCACGGGGGAGCGGGCGGGGAGGGGAGGGGGCACGTCTGAGCTGCTTTCTACCTTAGGAGAAACTTCCAGCCTGTGGAAGAAAATAGGGCACAACAGTCCTCTTAGTTAATGATGTGCCAAGGAACCAAAATGGGCACAGCTTTGTCACACAGCAAACAGATAATTCAACAAACACAAAAGTGGCCAAATTATAGACACTGAAATAAAATACAAAAAGGCAAAGCGCATTAGCAAAACAATCAAGCATAAAAATAAAGCAGTGAAGCCATTCTGAACAAACTGCTAGCTATTCTCCCCGGGATGCAATTTCACAAAGCATTTTTATATGAATGCTTTTATGGAGCATTGCTATAGGATGTGGTGGTGACACAGCATGGGTGTGAGATGGGAAAATCTATGAAATCAATCCACTGACTAAACTTACAGATAGCTTCAATGTGCCTTTTTAGCATTGATCGGACACCTGAGCTTAGTGGAGGTGACCCCGACTCACCTTGGCTTGTTCTGTGAGTCGCCTGAGCTGAACCAACCCCGAAGGCGTCCCTCGTTGGTAGGCGTGGCCTGGGGGGAGTCCGATTTGGCGGGAAGAGAGTCGCTCCGCCCCCCAGAGAACAGCGTCTTCCGGAATTTCCGACCTTTCTCTGGAGACGCTGTGGTGGAAGAGACCGAGGACTTCTGAGATGGAGGCGATGACTGTCCCTCTTTATCTTCCTCCTTTTCGTCCTTTTTGGTTTTGTCAAAAGACCACCGTCGGCTGTCTGAAAACAAACTCTTCTCATCACTTTTTTTGGTGAGATTCTGCAGGGAGCGAGACAGAGGTGCGCATTTCTCCAGAAGTACCAGTTTGGATGGGAGAGGTCCGGACATCTTGGGAATGGAGGGTTCGGAGTCGTACACGTGACTTCCGTTGATGCAAAGAGAAGACTTGGACTGTGTCATGGTCTGGCCTTTGAGAGACTCCACGGAGCGAGGGACTGCTGCAGTATTGATCTTACTGGCCTCGTCGCTCAGAGCACGCTTGTGGGTGAGGACCTTTGTAGTGTGCTGACTGGTGAGCACTGTGGAGAGAGGAGGAAGAAATATATTTGTTTATTTGGAACAGAGCATATTAATGTACATACATTATATACATTCTATAAACACTCTGGATTGTATCCCTGGGCTAATTTTCATCCACTGTCCCACATGAAGTGCGTTGCCCAAAAAAAAATGCTGCTCCCATCCATCTCTCATGCAAATACTAATCAGACTTTGGCCCTAGCTTCCAAAATTAAATGAGAGACATTGCCAAAAACATAACTGTTAGTGAATACTGAGCATATTATCAATATTTAAAAAGCAAACAAAAAAAAAAACTGATTATAAATATTTATAATCTTTTATTGGTACGACGTTTCGGTTGTAGGGACCGAAACGTTGTACCAATAAAAACAGCTAAGTGCCTCTCATCCAACGCACCTGTCACCCAGTCAGGTGTGAAAGTCTACACAGAAACTATTACATTTGGATGGCTAAAATATTATTTATATCTCATAGTGCAAGGCCATATCAAATCGCTTGTGATGGGGATGATGTGCAGTTTAAAATATTGTAATATATGACTTGCACTCCAAACACTGTGAGAAAAGTCAGACATCTTCAAATTTATAGAAGGCCTTGCCCTAAAATCAAATTCATGCATATAAATTTTTGTCAATATAACCCAAAAGGTCCACATTATGGCAAAAACAATAATGAGATGAGCAGTAGAATGTTCAGTGTCTTTGGAGCTTTACCCTTTTTCGCCAAGTCTGCCTCTCCATAATGAGGGTCCACTCTGACTTTGCTGGTGTAGATGGGAGAGCTGGGGGGGTCTGAGAGCAGGTCCAGACTGGGAGGAGGGTTATCACTGGCCATGGACGATAAGCTGCTATCTGAGGCCAGCGAAGAGCAGGACCTGGTGTCTGAAGACTTCCGCAGCTTGCCCTTAAAGAAATCCTTCATCTTGTTCCTCTTCTCTTCTGTCACCTCCACCTCTCGGGCCACCCCTCCCCCCATGTCCTCACTGAAGGACTGTCCCGTGGATGCAGACAAGGCAGCATAGCGACCTGGGACGATGGCCGAAGAAGACTCAACGTCTCCTCTCCTCCGTCCGGTCACACGGTCCTTGAGTTTGCCAAAAGCGGAGCGTGGCTTGTCTTTCATGGTCAAGTCAAACATACTGGCCGTCATGTTGTTGCGGGTGAACTGGACTGTTACCTGCAGCTCCCCCCGCTCCTTCTCCTTGCGACCCACCTTTGAGTGTAGCTTGAACCACCTAGGGCAACAATAAATTATTCATATGCAAGCCACCATATTATATACAAATTATAATGTTAAAAGTGCACTTTGTAACTTTTTTAGGTGGAGGATTGGATGTCACCTGCATGTTTCCATGGAGATGTTATTGCTTTTCTTGAAATGTTCCACAGTATGGCATTAAACATATCTCATAAAAGACAAGCTAGACACACATCAAGTCACAAGTGAGATCTATAGAGCGGCATGACTGTTCCCAGGAAGCAATTGTAATTCTAAACTTTCTGGAAATGGCACGTCACCAGTGTGATTACATGGAAATAGAAAATTTAAATCTCTCTGAAGATAGCTATGCTTTCTGTCATATTGTGAAAGACTATAGCTAAAGTAACAACATTTAATTGAAAATCAGCAGGAGGAGGCCTTCCTCCAGGCCAAATAGGAGTCAGGTTTGTGGAGATACAAGTGTGCTCACAGTAAGGATGCACGTTTTTTTCCATGTAAGAATCAAAATAAAAAAACAATAAAACAAAAAACATGCTTTTATTTTGGTTAATTTTTACTAAAAGCTATGTACGCAGGCTTTAATAAATGCAAGATTGATCAGTTTGATGTTATAGTGTGGAACATTCCAGGCAGAGTAATACCATCTTCTTGAGACAAGCTGTTGGCAGACTCTCACCAAAAAAGTTATACTGTGCACTTTTAAATGCATCTCTTTAAAACAAGAAGATAAAAACAGTGACTTGGCATGTGAGCAAGTCTTACATAATGTGTGGAAATGGCTAAGGGAAGCTGCATGGATCAAATCAAACCACAATGAAAACTAAATATTTAGGGGCCCCCAGGCAGGAAATGGCATACATTCCTGAAGATGCACCCTCTAACACCTGGAGTGCAATATGCACTGAGCAGACAATATGTGGAGTCCTAACTTTAGTCTCTGGACAGGACTAACACACGGCTGCAGTGGAGGCAAAGGAGAAGGCAGAGAGGACCAAATCAAAGCCAGATGTGTGTTACTCCATCCAACTCCTGAGCTGTGAATGTTTCTCATGTATCCTATTGGTGACTGTTGTTACGTCATCTGTGCCACTGCTGAGTTTTACAATAACACCAAAAGTATTCGAATGCAGACAGGATTTCAGCAAATCATACCATGATTTTTTTAGGTCTAGGCTATAGGTTGCAAGTGTGTGTTAATAAATTATTTCAACAAAATGTTATACATGTTTGTGACCTATACTGTTGAGATCCATTCTACAGTAAAATATTTACATTGTATAATCTATAGGCTATTACATTTGTAAGACTTATGTCACTAACCCAGAAAAAATTAGTACACAAGTGTATAAACTAGTGTACAAAACCTCTTCATCTCATTTATTGTTTTGCAATGGCCAAGAGAGAGGAGCTTTAACAAAGGTGCTGTTTGTGAAAAGATAGGCCTATAGCATTTTGTTCTACTTGCATCAATGCCATTTCCATGTGGGGACAATAAACAGGCTACTGTAACTAGCTTATATACCACACACATGACAATCACTCCAGTCATGACTCATGACTCAACATTATTTCTCATGTGTTAGCAGTGTAGCCTTCTGTAACAGCCGATATGACCTACTCATCTCTAGGACACGTCCCCTCCTGAAAGATCTTATCCAGGGGGATGATGGTCTGCCCCAGGAACACGTCCAGTCCGATGAGTACGCGGTGCATAACAGTGAACACCAGGTCCCCGCTCCCCGGAGGGTACGAGCTGCGCCCTCCGTCCTCCAGGATGCCCGGCAGAAGCTCGAAACAGCACTCCTCGTTCCACTGCGGCACCTCGGCCTTGTCCACCAGCCCCGTGGTGTACTTCTCCTTGCCCACCTGAATAATAGTGTACAGGTAGCGGCTGCCATGCTTGCTCTTGGTGCGCAGTCCCCTGGCGCGGAGTACGGTGACATTCACATGAGTTGGTACCCAGCGCTGGTCATCGTCTAGATCGATCAATGACATCATCTTGAAATGTTATAGTAGATGCCCGTCCCTAAATACGAACAGTTTACAGTGAAAACGAATGCCTGGAATCGATAATCCTAGTCATGTTGCGCCACGGGTTCATTCTGTACAGCTGCGCCAAAACCTCTCTGCAGAAGTCCTACACCGTTTGGATTGTCTGCGCCCAGGCTCTAAACTGGATCCATGTTCATGCTGAAGTGCTGCGTGCCATTTCCAAATTCAATCAAGGCAAATCGAGTTAACTGAGAAGGGGACTCGGAAATCGCTCGAAGTTCACGTTCTGCAGCTGCATGTCGTCGTTGCATCACTGAATTTACTGTTAGAATGTGCACGCTGAGCTCACGGCCCACCCTCCTACAAAGAGGCCAGAGACACGGGGATGCTGCGGAATTAAAGAGAAAGACCCGCGCGCAGAGAGATTTCCCCAATCATTACCCGCCAGAGACGTAACGCACAACAACGATACATTGTCACCGACCACACCGTGTCTGTAGTCTGTTTGATACGGACTAATTCATTTTACAAAAAATAAAATAATAATAATAAAATAAATACATTTTTAAAAAGCGACACATTCATTTTTGGTAATGTTCAAACCTGCGGATCAGGCATTTAGTCGATTATTTTTAAAGTATTATTTATTTATTTTAATTATCTAATTTTACTATTAAACACATGGCTTTTTTGAACAATAAGGACTGGGAATCATGCAACCATGAGTGTAATGCCATCTAGTGGAGATAAAGCAGAATGCATTAAACTAATGAAAATGTGAACATATTGAGATGTGTTTCATTTTTCTAGAACTGTTTAAAATGGAAGACCAGACCAGTCACACAATTTCAAGTGTAATTTATTTAGAATAAACAAAAACGCCATTTGAATCAGTAAAAAAACTACTTGTGTTTCACAGTGTGAGTAGAACTTTGAGGATAATATGCCTATGCCATCAAAATGCTGAGTTTTAATAATAAGAAACATCAGGAACAGTACAAGGACAGAGGCCAATAGTGAGGGTTTCTGTGGCACTTTTCTACTTGGCTTTGAGGAAGAGAACACCTCACACAGTTGTGTTCTATTTAAAACACTTACACTAAGTGGCAAACATTCTGAATATACGATATCTTGTACATTCAACCATAGAAAACAGTAGCTCGAAGGGAATTGTACACATTACAATACAATACAAATATGTGGAGTCATTCAGAAAGGCATAAATGCTGACTCCTCACTGTCTCTGCTTCAGTGAGGCTGATAAGTGCAAATAAGATTCTCATTTAAAACCAAGTGCGTTTCATAAACTTATTCACCAAATCCTTCATAGATTATGATGTGCGAATACATAAGCATAGGAATAATAGTTGATGAAGGAAGTTTAAGGCATTCAAGTATGTATGGCAACTGCCTTAAAAAACAAAACAAAACAGTGCTACATTGTAGTAAAGATACAGTCCATCATGAAGGAGTATATATAATTAACCCAGACATGGACACATGCTAACTGCAGGTAATACAAGTGTGTACAAAAGAAAACTGTGTGCTTACAACATAAGTGCTCTAAACGACAAACATATTCATGTGAAGTAAAACTGCACAGGACATAGTGTATTCAATGGACTGTTCTCATAACTTTGTAACAAATAACTTCTTTTAAATCTTGCAAATAAAACTTGTTGTAAAGGTGCTAATTGAAATGAAAACTGCTATGTGCTGTGTCAGATTTAAGAAAGAAAATAGAAATTTAAAAAGTCACATTACTTAAAGTGATAAAGACAATGCTGTAATATATCATGGACTGAACGCTTAGAACTGTTCATCTGACACTTTACATTACCAACCATTAAAGTAACTCCTACCAACCAGTAAAGTAACCTTTTTCCCATTAGTTTGGAATGTTTTCTTTATAGTAACAGGACAGGATAAGGTCATAGTTTTGGGATATGTTGTTGTACAGCTACAGATCAGGCATGTGCAATCTGTTCCCATGTTTTACCTTCAGTCGCAAGGGCCGTTCGAGCAGCTTTTCAGATAGAGTTCATCCTGTGATAAGTGCCCATCAAAGGCCTCTGTGTAGAGACTGCTGGTGCTGCTGCCACTGCTGCACATGAACGTACCCACTGCCCGGCCCTGGCGCGCATGGCCCACGGCATCACTGAACACTTTATTTATCTGCTCCTCAGAAGGCATCCACCAGTCCGGGTTTGAGGCACAGTGCATCCGGATAAACTCTGATGGAAATAGGAAGTGTGCTTTTATACAGGTATTTAGTATTAAAGGGACTATATTAAGCTATTTTCTGATCTTTGTTATAATGTTGGCTCCTTGACAAAAATAAACCTGGAGTTGTGTTTTGATTCATTCACACAACACACAAATACTACATAATGAGGCTGATTTTTTCTTTCAAACAGAAAACACTTCCACCTTGTGATGTCATGTGGTAATACAGGAAGTGAACTACTGTGTTTTTTTTTTGATAATTTCAGCCCTAGAATTGCCAATCTAAACTGAATTAAATCTAAAAGGTAACTGTTAACTTGAAAATTACCAATTTGTGACATCATAAAGTGGAACAGAGCATTTAGAGCTTTTGAGATGTAGACAAACTAATAATAAAGGGTTACTCAAACATTTGTGAATGAAACAAAAAAACAACTCCAGGGAATGTCAAGCCTCAAATACATAAGACTGGCTTAATCAAACATGCATAAGTAAATAGAAAAAACAGTAATAAAGGGATACTGTTATAACAAGGTTAAAAACTTACATAATATGTCTCTTATAAGTATTAATAAAATGTGCAGAAATGTTGGTACCTCTGAGGCAGCTGACTTTGATGGGGTTGAGAGGTCGCCTCTCCAGTCCTGGTTCCCCGGAGTGCACAGAGCGCTTCCTCTTGCCCAGCCCACAGGAGAACTTCAGCTCATCTGTGGTGAAGACATACCGGATCAGGTACCGCAGCAGTCGTCGGCCATCTTTCTTGGAGGAATTGACCGCTTCATCCCATTGTTTGTTAGTGATGAAGAGGGGGTAGTTCTCCAAGAGCTGCTTACTTCCCTGCTGAAATTACATATTGTGATATGTCATCAAACTGTTTTAACAAAAGGAATTTTACGTCTTGCTAATTGATAATAGTACACCATCGACTCCATTATGCTATTATTATTTTGTTAAAAAAAAAAAAAAGCTTACCTCAAAAACTGAATGCCTTTCTTCCTCCTGGTAAAAACAAAACTAAAAATGATCTCCATAGCAAATGCACACAACAAAAATATGTATTTGGCTCCAAACCTCAATAAATGGTTCCTCATGCATTGGCTGAATCAGCTGGTTGTGGAAATCAAGAACCGTCTTGAAGTAGTCAAGAACATTCTGACATGGGACTGGGGAAACAAGATGTAAAGAAAGATGAATACAAATGTGTGCAGAGAGAATACTGGTTGTAAAGCTGTGCTGTGCCACCACACCTGGGATGTTGTCCAGTTTGTTTCGTAGTTCCTCATTCTCCTGCTGCAGGGACAGTACCTCCTGTTCCAGCTCCACACAGCGGGGGCAGCAGCTCTCCTCCTCCTCCTCGGGCAGAGTGGAGGACGGGTGGCCATAGGACTCAGAGGGTGTGGGGGAGCCCCAGCCCCCGAGGCTGTGCCTCTGAGGGGACAGCCCAGAGCTGGGCTCTACAGGTGGGCTCTCGTTCTCCAAGCCTGGGGCCAGCAAGGGCTGCTGCTGGGGCCCTGACAGCAGGTAGTTCTGAAGGGAGTCGGTGAAGATGCGCAGCAGCGGAGGTCTGCTGCCGGCTTACATGGCTTGGCTGAGCCTCCTCCTCCAGGTCTGTGGTAGAAGAGCTCTCCTCAGATTTGGTCTTCCCCAGGACAGGGCCATGAAGGCCTGGGCCCTCCCCTGGGCTGTCCTCCACCTTTATGTTGGACATGAAGGAATGAGAGGGCTCCAGCAGACGCCCGTTGTTCAGGAGGTTCAGGACTCTGCTACATTGCTGGGCAAAGGCATCCAAGATGAGACGGTTTTCTATAGAAAATGGTGAAAGAGAAATTATGTTTGTATAGAAAATATTTAAAATAAAATGTGTGACCTTAAAACCCAACATAATGTAAACAATATCGTCAGCACTGCTAGTCTGTGCACGTATCTCAATGTGATGAAACCTCCATAGCTCCATGTACTGATCACGGACCCACTGCCCTCACACAGAGGAGACCAAATGAGTTGTGTGTTGTGTTGCAGTCATTCAGACGTGTCTATCAGGCTGCCGCAGATGTGTCGCATTTATTAATATGCGTGTGGTCTCTGTTTACCCGTCGAGATGTATCTGATATCATTGGCCTACACCACCTTCCCCTCCCTCTCTTCATCACCATCACACCACTTCTGTGGCACTGCGAGCTGAGAGCCTCATAAAATTTCATTAAAAACAACACGCTTGGCAGAAGAAAATTTATGAGACCCATTTATTTTAATCACAACTCTTTGCGAAGGCTTTTCAATGCAATTTGTGTTATTGTGCGCTGACCTGATTGCAGAGTCTGGGATCTGCGTTTCTCTTTGTGAAATGGGCATTTGGTTACTTGATCCATCAGACACCATTTGAAGAAATATAAGCTATAATTGGCTTAAATTTTATCAATCATATGCAAAGGAATACTGAGTACCTTCAGTATTTTTAAGTTATGCAATCAACTTTGTTAATAATTACAATGAAAAGTTTTAGTAATAAATGTTTGTAGTTCACTTGGATTTTAAACTTGCTCTAACATAGGACTGCAACCTGATCTCAGACCAAACACTTGGGGAAAATAATGAAGAGCAAATTGAGCCTGCATTGGTAGCAGTGATAAAGAGATGGCTATCTGATTGGAGGATGAGATGTCTGACGATTAATTTCATAAACAACAGGATTAGGTTCATTGCTTTCATCTTAATACTGGTTCCCATGGACCCGCCCTCCGCTCAGGGAGCGCATTTCTTCCACACAACGCCACTGTAATGAACAGCAGCTGAGAAGAAAAATGAGCATGGAACAATATGTTTCAACAGGAGACTGAAGTCCGCACACACACACACACACACACGTGCATACACACACACACACACACACACACATACGCACTCGTGAACACACATAAATGCACAAAGACAATTACCAAATGTAATTTGTAGCACATGCACTGTACACTAGAGATTCAATCATGACTGCTCTCATTTTAGTACCAGCTCAAACTCTGCTGAGAGAATGAAAAGGATGCAGAAACAGTCTACAACAGCACTGGATAAGACATGAGGAACTGACTCAAAGAACATCAAATATCCTAATATTTATTTTTATTTGTGATAATAATATTACTATTCAAAATGTTGTATCACTCAGGAATGCACAGGTTTCTGTAGAGGTTTGCACTCACCTGAGCTGATGGCAAAGGTGCAGTCTGGAGCTTGACTTAGAGAAGCTCTTCCAGGGGAGAACCTGGGTTCTACGTCTCCGCTGGCACGCCGCTGCTGGCCGCATGCTGAGGTGGAGGTGGGCACCCTGCTGCTAGGCCTGCTCTCACATGGGAGTCGGTGCTGTTGCTGTGGGAGCATCTGGAGCTGCTGGCTGCTGCTCGGCGCGGGGCAGGTCTGGGGGAGCTGCGGGCGCTGCTGCTGCTGATGGTGAGGCTGGAAAGGATGAGGCTGTCCGGGATGGAAAGTGAACTGGTGCCCCCCTCCATCTCCGAGCAGTGGTACCTCAACTATAGCGGACCTATCAAAGCGCGACTTACCAGCCGCGCGCTTGGTCTGGAACATTTTTAGGGAGCTGTACGGACCCCGCTGAAGACGGTTCATTTTAGGGGCGCATGGTCCTTCGTCCGGGGATTGCATCTCTTCATCCATCCCGGAAAGTGGAGTAGCGTGGTCGCTGCCTACAGGTCAGTCTCCCCTTGTGCTGGTGTGACAGGCAGCTGGTGACAGGGCTCCAGATCCGTCACTGTCTGGCTCGTTTCCCTACACAGACACAGCGTGAGGGTGGGTTCATTTACTGACAACCCCCCGCTCCAATCCCCAGCCGGGAGCGCCGACACGGACACCCTCCAGAGGGAACAGGCGGGACCAGCGCCACTGCTGCTGCCTCACTGTACGTCTACAACAACGGGGCGCTGTGGTTTTACTATTGGAGAGGGAAAAAAAATCACATTGTCCTAAATGAAGAGGGGGCCATTTTGTCAGCTCAACATTCTGCCTGTGCCAGCTCTAATGCAAACCAAGCTAGGCTACTAATTAATCACTATAATAGGCCTAGTTGGAGGTCTACTATAATGGTGTAGACTGTGGACTAAAACAAAACGTTTATGTTACTATTAAATATTTTTAATAAATAAATAAATAATCTTTAATTTACACTTTAGGCAATTGGCTTCGCTATAAGACCTACGCTATTTGTGTGGAAAAATACTGACAATGATAAATGACATCTTTCTAAGAGCAGAAAAGCCTATCACTTAGGTCTACCTGCAAGTGAGCGCTATTGGCAAATGACTATTGGCAAACAGCTATTCACAATCTTCCGAGTTTAAACATGTGTGAACACACGAGGGCGCTACTATTCCACACGGGCGCATACTCCATCTCCTAACCCAGGACCGCAGGTTAAAAAGGCGAGCCAAGGCCTAAAAGCTACAAAAATATTAAGACTTCTGGTTGTTTATTCAGGATATTAGTCAATGCAGAGTAAATGGAGACTGGGTTAAAACATTATGGGCTAAGACTACAGGATATCTGATTAACAAAAATGTTGTTGGGGGGTTTGCTTTCTGTTAACTATCATGTTAATTACAGGTAATCAGCCTATTATCATCTGTTAACACAAATGTAAATTTTGCCACATAGCTCAGTGTGACGTGATTGATTGGGTTAAGTCTGAGGAGGAACCTGTAGAGGTAAACATAAATACCTGTTAATTGATTTAGCCTACATGACCTCACAACAAAACATCTGGATTGTAGCTAAAGTAAGATTCAGTTCTCATTAAAATAAGGTCATATTAAACTAGATACACCTACTGCATATAGCCTGGGTGGACCAAATATTGTTTCCTTCTTACCTATACCAGTCATGCATGGTGGAGTATTTGGGGGAAAATGTTATAGTAACCACCACGCGTGGTGAGTTGTTTGGGTGCTTCTAGTTGGTGCGCAACGTGAATGCGCACGTCAGCTGCAGGGGGGTGGCGTGCGCGCGTACAAATCAGAGTCACTAAAGTAGCGCGGCTCAGTGAAGAGAACTCTCAGCTTGTGCTTGGACACCTACAACAAACTTAGTAGTTTTGGTCTCTCCGGTGAATCCTGGACCATGTTTGCGTCGGAAGGGAGTCGAATAATGTTGCCTTAATTTTTCTGGACACAGATTCGATTAGGAATTTTGCTGAAGTTTGGTCCAAACAACTTTGCAAAGTTGCAAAGATGACTGTGACCTAATCCGACCTGTCGCGGACGGTTCATTCATTCTTGTGGAGAAAGTACCCGTACAGCCAGGCATCGGGAGTTGAAGCCCTGTCCCCGCTTGTCCCGTGGGGCGCAGAAGTGTTCGTGATGGTGTGCCTTCTCCATTGCGTCCTGCTTGGATATATCACTTGGAATCTGCGGATATCGGACGCACAGGGGGAGTACTGTCACGGCTGGTTGGACGCTAATGGGAATTATCATGACGGCTTCCAGTGCCCGGAGGACTTCGACACCACAGACGCCACTGTGTGCTGCGGGACCTGCTCCCTGCGCTACTGCTGCGCGGCACCGGACGCACGGCTGGACCAGGGCAGCTGCACCAACGACAGGGAGGCAGACAACACGGAGTTCGCTGCACGTGAGTTTCTAGAGCGTGGCTTAAATAGGCTATAAGGATGCACCATTGTTTAGTTGTAACACAGGAAAATTCGCAAAGAGTTTGTCATGTGATTCGTGAATCCATCGAGAGAGTGGCAGCATACAATGTATATGCTCATTAAAGACTCAAGCATTGCTTCAGTGAAATATTAGACCAGGGTATCTCAAATATGTTAATTTTGGCTGTGAGTATAATTTTTAGTTCAGTTCAGTCTCAAAGATGTTTCTTTCCACTCAGAGGTCAGAGGTCAGCGGTTCAGCTCGGAGTGAGGCCACAAGGAGCATACAGGTCAGACCTGGACCTGTCTGCTGTCATCACATCAGCAGACTACAGCTTGTTCTCAAAAGACTGACTCGCATGCATATTTGCTTGCTACAACTTTTATGTTAAATGACACATCTCGTCCTTATATGTGCACACACCCTTGACTGTTGTATAAATTGTTGATTTCTTCTCAACATAAATCGTATATCAGTTATGGCCACCTGCATAGCGTACGTCTTGGCTGCTTCTTGTTTGACCTTTAACTCAGATTCCATTTGATGTGAAAAAGAACAGAGCATTTAAGTGAACACTGCAACAATCTTTAATTTGGTACCACATAAAAGACTCAGTGTGGTCCTAACCCACTGCCGAGGCATTCATAATAAACTGCTTTAAACTTGAGCTTTATCAGTTTTCTTTAAATTTCCCGTAAGGATCAATCAAAGGACAATTTAATTTTTTTCCTTAACAAAATAAATACACTTCAGCTGATTTCCTCCTTGAGCTCAGTGAAACTTCAGAGGCTTGTAGTCAGAATATGTGGATCATACAATAAAGTAAACTTGTGTCCTGGAGTTTTGTGACTGATCATTTATTTGCCTAAAAATAACATGAAAGCTGAAAACATTTTTGAGTGTCAGTTATGATCTGTGAAACTGTCTATAGCACAAAGAGATGTGTGTGTGTTAATGCTTGTGATATGAAACTTATTGAGAGAATATTAAAATGAAGAAAAGATAAAGTTATATTTTGCAACACTGAGGACATAAACATCTTTGTACACAGATCAAGTCTCTCTAACTTGACGTCCCTGTCTCCACAGAGCCGGTGTATGTGCCCTTCTTGATGGTTGGCAGTATCTTCATCGCTTTCGTCATAGTGGGCTCTCTGGTGGCTGTTTACTGCTGTACGTGCCTTCGCCCTAAACAGCCCACGCAGCAGCCCATCCGCTTCTCTCTGCGGAGCTGTCAGGGCGAGACCATCCCCATGATCCTGACCACCGGCCCCCCCAGCCTGCGAGCTCCGTCCCGCCAGTCCAGCACAGCCACCACCAGCTCCAGCTCAGCCGGAGGAGGCAGCTCCATGCGCCGCTTCTCCCTGGGGGGTCAGGGCTCCCAGCAGCAACATGGATGTCTGGTTTCTGCCACAGTGTCCTCATCAGCGTCAACCCCAACACAGACTCCACCCCCTCCGCCCCCCTACACTTCCCCTCCAGCCCCTGTGCCCCCCAGCCTGCCGCCCAGTCACGGTCACCCCCCTCTGCAGCTGCACCAGCACACCCCCGGGTTCCTCCTGCCCCAGCAGTACTTTTTCCCCCTACAGCCTGACACCTTCACTGTCGCCAAAGGCTTTGCAGACTTTGGGCAGAGCTGACAGAGCACAGGCATGTTACAAGACAAACAGCTAGCCTGTGTGCCAGAACCCAATCAAGCTGTCATGTGTTTCTGTAAATCAATCAGAGGTGGAATATTTAAATTTACTTGACTTTCTCTCATATGAAAGCAAATCTGATATGGTTATTTTTGGTTAGCACTTGGTTTTGGTTCAGAAAAGATCCCACTTCTACAGGCCACAGAAACATAAACGCTGCTTATACAGCCTCTCAGTAAGTGCTCATATGCTTGGGATATTTTGGGTAGGACTTTAGTTACATCTGGAAAGTATATTTGACGTTATCTCAACATCTCCCATATCTCCCATATCTCCCATATCTCCCATATCTAACCAAGAAGGTACTGTAGATAATGGTGGTATGCATTGATGGGTTTACAGAAACTTCTTACTGGACCTTTTACCTGGTGGCAGGGCTGTGGCAGATGGAGTAGGACCTGAAGACCTGAAACTGTCTTTATCTGAGGCACTTTTCCACCACACTAAAGCTCTCTGGATGACCATCATCTAAGCTCTCACCAAAAGTTCACATGGAACAGTCGCATATCATATATTTTACCTTTTGATACCAGATGTGGAGTTTTTGCCACTTCGGAGAATATGCCATTAAATTACATTGTTACATCAGGGAGTAAAATCTTTGACAATCACAAATCTTCCTAAAGGGAGGGTGACTGACAGACAATGGAAGAGACATATGGACTTCGTTAACATTGTACAGTGGAGTTGTCAGAATGGTTCCTGAAATTGATGAATAAAATGTCTCTTTCTACTCTTGTGTGCTGTGGAGTAACACTAAACCGGATGACAGGAGGTGGAAGCTAGCGTATCCTGAATGAAAGGAAACCGCACTTGGGCTCTTTACCTGTGGCTGAGTCTTCTTGCGCCACATTTCCCAGCAGGAATGTGGCACTCAGATCAGTCATTGTAAGTGTTCAATGAGCATCCCATGGCCACAGTGTTAGAAACAACTCATCCCAGAAATAGAGGTTTAGGTTGCACCAACAGGTATCGCCAGGCCTGGACAAAGAATGCTCTGTTCCCCGGTCATTTGGCTGTGAAATAGTGCTGCCAATCAGCACCTGGTCAGTCTTACCAAGTGTTGTGCATGTCCTGTTGAGTTTGTCAGAATGAAACAGGTTTATTGCCATTGTCAGTGAACAAAATAAACAAAACTTGCTTTGGTGGTAAATAAAATAAAAATAAGACAGGTATAAGGTAAATAGAAATACTTTTAGAAACACAAAATATACAATATGGCAGAACAACTGTGCAAAACTATCAGCACAAGTAGGCAAATTTCAGTTGTCTTAAGTAACAGTGACAAAGTGTCAAACTGTTCTTGTGGCAAGAGATTAACAGGGAATTCACACACACACACACACACACACATATATAATTTTTACAATAACATAATACAACATAATACGACCTTTACGAAATGTAATGTTTAAAGTTAAAGGTGCACTGTAAATCATGGAATCCATCATCATGTAATTGTTATTTGTACTGGGATGTTCCACAGTATGGCATTAAACATATCCATCTTGCGGTTATTTAGTTACTGGGGTTTCTATTGCTCGAAAACAACTTGTATCTTTCTTTCTCCATATTCATTTCAATATTCTATTTCCATATTCAATGGCTGAGGACCATTCTGGGTAAGGCAATAACATCTGGAGCCAAGCATGTGGCCGACCTTGCACCAGAAAAATTACACAGTACACCTTTAAAATTGCATGCAAGTTTCCAAAATGCTGGCCTTGCTTTTCCAAATTTCAGAATTTACTTGTTTTTTTGTTGTTGTTTTTTTTTTTCATTTTAGCCCAAAGCAAGCACATAAGTCAGCCGTCTGTTTTATCTCTTCTGTGTTTATCTAAAAAAAATGACTCCGCTATTGTTATTCTAGTTTTTCTTCTAAAAAGTAGGCCTCTACAATATGTTGCAATAGACATAGCAATTTGAGTTAGTGCAATTATTTAATTGCTAACACTGTAATTATTTAGATAACAGAAACTATGCAAATAGCTAAATATTCCGTTGTTTTTTTAGTTTAGTTTTTTAATTAAGACTTGCACATGTAGTTTGAACCTCAACAAACTGAAACGCATAGGATTCAACCTTACTCAAAATGCAAATATGAACCAAAAATGTGTTAACTAGTGGTAATGTCTTATATTGTCAGACAATGGAGATTATTCCCACAGCATTTCTTGATAAACCTGATCCAAAGACAAGTAAGACAGATAGCAAAACAAAACATAACTGGACAAATAAAGCAGACTGCTGCAGTGATGAGAATGTGCGCTCTCAAAACACAGTGTACAAGTCGGAACTGCTATAAACAAAATTAAACCAATGGGTGGAATTTTAATTTGTTGATTTCCAGTTTAAGTTCTCATTACAAAGACGTCCTGTTTGTTTCATAAACTTAGCCAAGACAAATCGAGTTCTACAAAAGAATGAGCAAATCAGCACATGATTTCTTCATGATTGTAGTTTATTTCAGTAGTCTTTCATGGCAGTAAAAGACAACACTTAAGTTTGCAGTCCCAACATGCAGAACAATCATTGAATAAATTAGAACAGAAATTCAACATTAAAAGAAAAGTTAAAGGTGCAGTATTTTGTAAAGTGGTCAAAGTAGTACAATTAACACTTGAGAGAACAGTTTGTTATCCATTCATGCAGCCCACATCTGACAGACAGCCACATGGAAAACGGTTTCTGGAAATAAAAGCAACAGTCCAAGCCTTTTCCACGACAACAACATTCAGCGGTTTGATAAAATCATGATGACAACCCAACATTAAAAAGTCAGAACCATCACTGAACTGATAAACACAAAGCAGAAGTACATTGCATGAAGAAAAATAAGTTACAAATATGAACACAAATAATTATCAAACTCAGAATACCAGAGATCACTACTGAAAAGGTACATTGAGTGCATTGTGCAACATCTTCCATCAAAAAGAGCTGAGCTTGAGAAAAGGTGTGTGCAGACTGACACTGTGTGCCCATAAGGGACATGCATCAGCACACAGCAGTACACAGCAGTACACACAGATACTGTACGTGAGGAGCACAGACAGACAACTGCAGCAGGCGTCTGTACCCCCCCATCCACTCCACATGTATGCTCCCAGCTCAGACACAACATGCAGTGCAGTCTCAGGTTATCCACAGAGTACACACATGCACATGCAGACCCACACATACACAACCTCGTCTCCCATAGGGAGAAAAAGCAATCACACAGACATTTAAGTACTCAATTATAAATAAAACAGGCTGTTACAGTAATAATTATAGTAATAATAACAAGACATTAACAAAGCTCACTTTACTCTTTCAAGCAATCCTAATCTGCCAGTTTCTCAAAAGAACTAAAGTTACAGACAGTTCATTACAAAGCCAGTCAATGCAAAAGTCAGACATCTCCAATATAAAAATACAAATCCACAAAATAACTATAGAGACAAAGTCGTTTTGATACTGACGTGGAGTTTCCTGGCTAAGTTCTCTCTCCCTTAAACTAATGGCACTTGTGTTAGAAGGTTAGGATCTTCATGTGTAGGTAACATTACCACAGAGAGGAAGCCACCACTGCAGAGAGCCGAACATGTGCCACAAGGCGCTCAGTCGTATCACACTGTACAAGTGCAATACTGTGGTGATGCTTCACTGGGTGTGTGAGGAGCACTGTCCTAGGATAGCTGGCTAATCTGCTCTTGGCTAACTATCATCTACGAGGGAAGGTTTACGTAGGCACCGTCGTGATTGTTTTAGACTGGAGTGACATGCGGAATGCTAATATGTGCCAAGCGGTAAGAAAAGTTTGTGGCATGAGACTACAGCTTTGAGGGACAAACCGAAACAAAAACAGGCACATTAATAACATACATTAAATATTCACATAAAATATGCACAATACAAGATGAAGGCATGAGCATATGTAAGGCTTTACACGATAGATGCTTTCTCAAGTGCAAATTAAACAAACATGTATGCGCAGAAGTGGTCCATTTAGTGCTGGAATACACGCACAAGTGTGATTACATTTGGTTTAAGGTTTTCCCAATTCACTAGTACTTAGAAGATTGTATACACGACTGCTCTTTGGCAATCTTACACAAGTCTATATCCTCATCATCACACATTGTCTACATCTTGTACAATAACAGTGTCAAAAGCAGCTCATTTTAAATGGACTTCAATTATGTGAACCGTTTTTGGTATGGTCCTTAAACCATCATCTATCAAACCAATGCGAAAGGAGAGTTGTTCAGGCTGAAACTGTGCAAGGACAGTGAAGAACGTCAGACCACAGACTGCTAAGAAAGCACAGTGCTCATTATGTCTGCTGGACGTGACAGCTGAGAGTGATGTGTTCCTATATGCGTGCGTGGTGTCCCTTTGTGTGGCTCTTCCCCTCTCTTACATAACTACTTGTGTCCATCTGTATTCTTTATGTTACTGGTAAATCACTGAGACGCTGGGCGCTAACTCGTACCATCGCACCACACCGTCTCTCCTGGTTCAGTATCAGAGGAAGCGGCCTGGTGGCTCCTGATTGGCCGGCCGGAGTGTGAAGGTGGGATCTCACCAGGCGTTGGTCCTCTGTTTGGTGGTGTCGTACGCCCGGATCACCTCAGACTGAGACACCACACCATTTTCATCTTGGGAAAAGGCATAGCCGTCTGCAGAAGACAACACATTTTTAGATAATGATAGAGAACGATACAAACACAAGGTAATAGGTCGTGTTCACATTTGAGGATTTGATGATTATCATTTCAGATGGATGGCAGGGACATATATTCACAGGTTTCAGATTTAGGAGCTCAGTTGTTCTGGCAATAATGCAATTAAAATAAATATATAATATAGCTTTGAATGGGGAAACGTCCTAAAAAAAATTCTTCAGCTCAAGAAGGGATCATGTGGCTGAAACCATACATAACATAATCCTAGGAGAAATAACCAAATGTATGATCTACAAATGTTGTGCTTTGTCATTATTAGACATTCGTTCCCTAAATTTGCAATAATCATCTTATGACTTAAGGTCCTTTCAACAAACATCAGTCATACTTTCAGGGCTGAAGCTTTTTATACTGACAGAGAAGACATTGGAATTTGTGCCAGTTTTTGTTGCATGTGGATTGGCCCAATAATTACACATATATTAGGATAGCAAACGCAACAATAGAAACGGTTATGATGTCAATGAACCCAACCTATTAAAATGAAAGACAAATGATAATAACGTCAAAATGGGCTAAACTCTACTTCTAAGGCCTAGTCAGTGAATCCTACAGGTGTGTATACCTAGCATTAAGGTTCCACTCTGACCTTTGACCCTGACTCACCTTCAGGTGTCATATGACTTGGTGAGTACCTGGAGACCAGCGGGTGAGTTCAACAGACCCCGCTGAGACGTGTGCATAGTGGGGGAATAACAGCGCAACATTTCATCATTTTAGCAAGAAGTCGCTCAACTGATGCTAACACTCGAGGAGGCACACCAAGGCAAAGAGAGAGGGGGCGAGACAGGAAGTGAGATGACTATCTAAGGCTAAAGGGGGTGGGGCTTCTATCAGGACAGGTTTTAATGTTCAAGATGGAAAAACAGTAAAGGGAATCACATAATAATGATCTCATCCCCACCTATGAGACAAACAGAAACAAAATGATGAGACAAAGAAGAAACTCAACACGGCAAAATAAAGATGACAAACAGAAACACGCACAGAGAGATGAAAATGAGAGGGATTTTGTACAGAGATGGTTGGTACTCACTATTTACTCAGTTACCTTTGCTTGAGTAAGAAATTCTACTTTCACTTTTATTTTATTTTTTTAAGTAACATTGCTCTTACTTCAGTAAAGGTGTGCTTTGAAACTTTTCTCACTGTGAGTAAGTGACATTATGTTGACAATATTAAAGATTTAAACTTTTGTTGAATTGCTTCTTCAGATATTTATTTTTTTTTAATTAAATGTTATGTGAATGTTAATTGTTAAATGTTTAATCCCTCCATTTACAATAATGTAAAAATTAGGGCTGGGCAAAAATTTAAAAATTTAATCGCGATTAATCGCAAATCGCTATTAATCGCATGTTATACGCAAAATCAATTAATTATTTAAAAAGTAGAGTATAGCGCTCTTTTATTGGAAATGTAAATGAAAGAGCCATACATTTGTTGTGCAAACAGCATTTCTTTCACAGGGGAACCCTCAGAGCCTTCAAGGTGTTCAGGGAAGGCTCAAGAAAAAATATTGAATGGACGTTTGTACTACTAATATATTTATTGAATATTTTTTATGCTGTGAGTAATGAACACTACACTAGTAATAATTTCTAGATCAGTGTTATAAACTTGGACTGATATTTCTTAGGAAAGAAAGGGTTAATATAATGGAATGGAAATGGACCAATCACATTTTTTCTTCCAATGGTGTCTGGGTAAATCAGTGACTCCAGCACTGAACTAAACAAATAAGCTCAGCTCAGAGCCGGTGCCCGCGGCTGAGTCCGCGGCCGGAGTCGGAGCCTGCAGCCGAACCCGCGGCCGGGCCCGTGGCTCGCAGAGGCTCGGGCACATTGCATCTCACGTGGTCAAAAAAAGTGAAAAAAGTGTAAAGAAAACACGTCAAACTTAAAGAAACGCTCACGGTGGACTTTTTCAAAATAAAAGCCAGTGAGAAACAGACGTTTACAATAAAATAAATAAATAAATAATAAAGACTGCGTTAAAGGCGTTCAAATAATTGTCGGCGTTAATTACTTAATTAGTTAACGCAAAGTTAACGCGTTAACGTGCCCGGCCCTAGTAAAAATATAAATTATATGACATTTAATCTTTTAGTAACTCATACTTGAGAAGTTTTTTACTTGGGTTAGTTCATGGACGATTACTTTGTACTTCCTCTTGAGTAATATTATTTTGAAGTAATAATACTCTTTATACTCTGACTACTACTTTTGGCTACTCTATCCATCTGTTTTTGTTCCATAAAATGTAGTTTGATGAAACTCAACAGCTATATAGTCATTTATGTATATCTATCTATATAATTTTTTGCATAAAGCAGGTAGATATGTGGTCATGCATGAGGGCTGAGGTCATCGAGTCATAGCATCCTGTTTACACACATTACCTGCAGTTTCCTGCATGCAGTATTTATGTGCAGAGGTGAGAGTGCGGCCCCTCTAGAGGTCTATGCAAGTGGAGGAATAATGAACTGCACTGTCTCCCAAGTTGGCCTCATACATGTGCAAGCCAATTTTATGTGATAAACTGGATTTTTTTTGTTTTTGTTTTTTTTTCTGGGAAACATTAGTATGATAAATATGAAAAAAGAGAAACAAAAAGAGCTAATTTATAGTTGAACTTGTACAACTTACGGAGCAGGTTTTGCTGCAAGGACTCGGAGCGGTACAAACTGACGGTGCTCTTCTTGAAGACGTTCTTCAGCAGCTGGGCCCTCTCTGTCAAACTGCACACACACAAAGAGACCAAAGTTAAAAGGGGCGGTACCTTATTTTTTCAGCTAATAAAGTAACATTTGTTTTGCTCCATTATAGACAAAATGTCAAAGCTCTTAGAGTCAAAATGAGATTGCGATGTGCTGTCTGCATGTAATTGAACCAGGAAGAAAGGCTGGTGCCCTATAAGCGTGCTAGTTGTTGTCAGCATTACTGTATCAACAAAACTCCCAATCTTAAGTCCTCACTGTGAATAATTAGGATGAAAGGAATGCATGTGAAAAGTGAGGATTACGTATGAACTGCTGCAAACAATTTAAAATTAACTTGTCCTGTTTTTCACATTTTTAAGATGGTAAAAATCATGTACAGGGCCTTTAAAACCCACTGAGCTCCACAGGCAGGTTTAATGGCCCTATGCATCCAGTTTCAGTCCAAGCCCCTCCACAGTTACACAGGCTGCCAACTGCTCTACCTGCTGCTCCCAAAACAGTGTGAGCAGAGGGTAAAATATCTGGAACAGCACACTGTCCCACAAGTATTAAGGATATGAGGAAGTTCTTACTACAAGTGCATGTACGTATTTGTGTATGGGCTCGGATTGTCAAAATGGCAATACCTAGCAACTAAGGCTACGTTTATATGTCGCGTTTAGATGAGCGTTTTTCGGGAGGAAATCTGTGTCCATATGGTGATGCAAAAGTGCGTGAAATTCGAATTGGGTATGCATACCAGGGGGCTAGGTGGTGACGCCAGGTGGTAATGTATGTGACGTAAACGTGTACGCGACGTGAGCAGATCTGACCAGAGTTTTGCGTCTTGGGCAGTGTAAACGGAAACATTACAGTGGACCATATTCAATTTTTCCACTCTGGAGGGTGGTTTCAGATTTTTGCGTTTTTAAGCCCTTAAAAACGCCGTCACTGTCTAAATGAAAGCCACTTCTGATTAAATATTTTGTCGTATTTACCCGCAAGCATTCTCATGTAAAGAGGCCCTAAGTGATACTAAAACTAGATGCTTATTTGAGCCAGTAAAGATATTGAAAACAAGTTGGACATTTTTCTTAATAGATCTATGTCAGAACTTAAATACAAACATACTGTAATGTTAAACAAAGTACTATTATTATATTATAAAATTACATTATTTATTATGTATTTTAAATTGTGTAAAATGAGCACTGGGCAATCAAAAGCACTGAGTATTGAAAACATATACTACACTTATAAATGATAAATAAGTAAGTTTATGTTACTTTTTTTTAGAATGTATTATTACCATTTATATTTTTGATCTTTGTTATTATAATAATATACTACTGTGTCCAAATAATTTTTAATTATTTAATTATTAAAGTTTATCTAAGTCTAAATCTACACAAAACTAACACTAGTATCAAGCCTGCATACTTGAAAAAATATCTATACAGAAAAAAACTGAATCTATCCTGAATAATTTTATGTGGTCTTTTGATGTATTAAAATAGTATAAGACCACATTATAAAATTAAATTACAATTATGGGTTGAAAATTACATTCTATTGTCTAAAAAATGTGCTATCTGAATAGAATATGAAACCTTTTCCTGATTTTAATATGGTGCCATGGTGCGTGCTGGGGCTTGGACTTGAGCCAGGATAGGGATACACACTGCGGCCTGACGTTGACCCTAGGGAGCGTGCTTCATCTAACACTATATGACTTAAATATGGGAGGTCCACATTCTGAATGTGAAAAATGGACACTTTTTCTTGACATGATTACCAATATTACTGTCAATCTGCAGCAATTTAGTAATTTTAGAGATTTCGTATTTTCCACGTAATAATCAAATTGGCTGGGGTGCGGGGTGCTTTAGGGGAATCATGAGGGAATTTGGGGTTAAACAGGATTGTTCTCCAAGTTTGAGAGACTTTGTAGAAGAAAACAATAATCATGGGGTTTATATAAAAATGACTAGAGTATTATTATATTATTTGGACATGATTTATGGCTGTTTGGAGCAGTGTTGAAACATAGAAAGCAGGACACAATTTTAAGTAGGACACTGACAGATTTTGGTCTATTTAATAATAATGTACTGTATAATAGAAGTGGATGTTATATTAAAAACACAGATGAAATATAAACCTATAATAAGAAAATATATAGCTTAGAACAGGAAAACTATCCAAATTCAACACAAAAAGCTGCTAAAATAGAAAAAATACAATGAAACACATTCAGTATATTTGTGTGGGAAAAAAAGACATTTGGGGGCTCAATTTGGTGCAAATTAGTTGATGACAGACAAAACGCCACTTCCTTCAAATTTTATTTACCGTAACTGTAATGTACACAAAATTGATTAAAAGCCAAAATATCAGAAATGTCACAATCTTTACTGTCAACGATGGTGCTAGGGTTGGATTTCTATAACAACAAATTACAAAGTAAAGCAGCATTTCAAACGTGAATTTGGTTTGTTGCAGCGGATTATGCATAAACATGAATTTAAAATGTTAATTTGTGATTAGCATTTGTGATTAGCATATAGATCAACTCTAATGGACTAATGGAAATCTGGTAACAACTGAAACATGACTTGTACGTGTCTGAAACTTTTGTTTTCTAGAATTAGAGCTGCACTACACACTAACGAGGTTCTTTGGTAATTTGAGCTTTTAGTGCTTACTTCAGTAATCGTCTCTTCTCATATGAAACTCACACATGGCACTGACTCTTTCGATATGTGCAAAGACTGGCTGGAATGAACTGATCAGACAGTACCAGAGGTGGGACCAAGTCGTTGTTTTGCAAGTCTCAAGTAAGTCTCAAGTCTTTGACCTGAAGTCCAAGTCCCAAGTCTAATACATGCAAGACCAATTTAAGTCGAGTCACTGGCCCATAAGTCCAAGTCAAGTCCAAGTCGTCCGCTTTGAGCTTCAAGTCATTTCAAGTCTTTCAATGAAAGCACCAAATACAGCTTAGATCTATGCAATTTTTATGACTTTTAAGATAAATTATATTTTAAAAAATCATAATATATTCATATGAGTATTTATAGAGTATATAAGAGTTGTAGAAATGAATTTAGTTTTATTTTTTCCTTTTTAAATGTCTTGACAAGATCTTAGTGTGAATCATTACAGTCAGAATAGAAATAATTCACATTTAATAGTGCTTCTCAAGTCTTCTCAAGTCACAGGCCTCAAGTCTGAGTCAAGTCCCAAGTCACTGAGCTTCAAGTCCAAGTCGAGCCCCAAGTCTTAGTCCATTTTATCAAGTCAAGTCTCAAGTCCTAAAAATAGTGACTTAAGTGTGACTCAAGTCCAAGTCATGACTTGCAAGATCCTACCTCTGGACAGTACCAATATAAACCAGGTATACTTTAGCCATTGTTTCCCACCTACTATATAGAAATACTCCAAAAAATTGTACTAATACAAATTCTAATTAATTTATGGTGTGATACTTTACCTTTTGCCATGGACCACTGCTCCAGGGTCTTTGGATAAAGCCTCGAGCTCCTGAACTTCATCTACCAAAGTCTTGAAGAACACTTTTTTCACCCTTTAGACAAAATAAAAGCAGAATTATGTTATACTGTCACCGACCATGAGTAAATGGGTTCAAAAACATTTAGCTAAAAAACTGTAAATGACATTTTCAATCATCTGTGTGTTGATGTCATCCAGGTTCGTGATGAGCAAAAAAATTCCCATGGATTTTTGAGTGAAAGAGAAAGCTATAAATTTGCTAGAAGTCCATAAATTTGAAAGGATCTTTTGGAATAGATTACAGAGATCCTGAGGGGATTTCCTTTATGTGATATCTATTGCGGTGATTGTGAGAAGTGCTATGGAGGAGAGGACTCACACTTTGTAGGCCACGTCAAAGACCAAAGAGGTGACGGGGATGAAGAACAGGCCCATCCAGAAGACTCCTGAGCTGAACATCATGTTAGCCTGAAACAAGAGATCCACTTACTGTAAGGCCATCATGGACAAAGGATAGGTCAATGCGAGGAGATAAAAGAAAGTGCCTTAAGGATAAACACCTGATAGGAAGCCCCCCTTATCATCTGCCCTGATAGTTTTGATGTCACGTGAACACAACCAACATGAAAAAAAAACAGGCATGTTAACTATCAGTATAAGTAAACAAAAGTGATTTTTTTCACCATAGCTACAGAAAGTGGAGCTATTATTCAATCCCAAAGACATGATTGTTGTCAGTTGAAAGAACTGAAAATCATAAGATTAACATAGCAAGTTTGTGAAGCCAATTTTTTTGTGCATCGTAAGTTTAAATCATTCATTCATACACAGTGGATTCCTTAAACTAATATAGACCCCTGCCCTCCATCTGAAATTATGACAAATCCTACAAAGTGAACGCAACATCACTCACAAAGGCAAGCCTAAATAAACTGTTGTACTGGGGAAATCGAGACCCAAATAAGCAGTTAAAAGTGCTTAAACCGCCATGACTAAGTGATCCCATGTTTCTGTATGAGTACCCCTCAGGGCACAGGAAGTTCCTCTGAAGTGTTTAGACCAAGGTATCAGCTTCAGAGGAAAACAACTCCTCTGTGTGCTACGGTGATGGCTTCTGTCAATGCATCACAGCTGACAGACAGGCCTGGTAATGTGTGCACAATGCCACAGCCACTTATTGCTAGCGGGGGTCTGGCGGGCTAATATGTGGGAATCTACCATCCTCCAGTGTCACTCGAGTTGTTTTGAATGTATTTAGTAAACAGTGGGTTAAAATAGCTCTCACCTACAATAGTTGGTTAGTTGGCTTTCAATGAACCTTTCAGTCAACTAAAAACATGTTTTGCAGTTGATTCGGCACTGTTGTAGTTGGTACTGGTTGATGGTAAATGTTTAAATCACGCTTTTCCAGCTCACTCATTCATACACATTCATACACCAATGTAGGCAGACACCGGGAGCAGGATTCGAACAGTTGACCTTCGCATTAATGGACACTGTACCAACTGAGCTACTGTCGCTTGCCCCTCCCCCCCAGTAATACACATAAAAGTATTAAAATCTGTAATCCAATTATGGCAACACATTCTTTGTTGAAATGTGGTGCAAAAATAATTTTAAGATCCACTGCTGTTTCATTTGTAACACAGAATGGCCTGTTTAACAGCTCTGGTCTAAATATGTCAAATTTTGGAAACCTCTCTCAACCTAGTTTAAAACATATTTGGGTTCATCCTATTTTTAATTAAAGTCAAGAGGCAGCCTCGCCACTTTTGGTCATCATACTGACTAAACATATCAAGACAGCCATCTATGCAAGAAGAATTAAAATCTTATAAGTGGGGGCTGTGACATTAGTGAATTGGAAATTGCCTTGTTGCAGGCATAGCCTTTTAGCATTTAGTTCGTGGATGGTGTTTTCTTTGGCTTGGTGCAGTGAAACAATCTGTCATCACGTGTCAGAAATGCTAACCCATGCTGCATGCATTGTAATGTAGCTCTTGTTTAAACTGCAAGGCCCCACCAGTGCTCTTCCTGTAATCTGACACACTCAGTAGCTGTGGTCACGGATGCACTAATGCTCCTATCACAGTCAAAGCTATCACGGGCTATCTCAATAGGGATAATCTACTTAGTATTAGTCTACCTACAAATTGAGCTTGATGCATGTCAAAACAGGGCCCACAAGGCATATCATATGACAGGAATAAAAAGGCTTGATGCAAGCGTTACGAGACCTTTTGCTGAATACAGTTCTTGTGACATCAAATAATTCTAAACTGTTATTTTAAAGGGGCCATTTTACATTGTTTTCTCATCTATGTTATAATGTTGTTTCCTCATGAAAAGCATACTTGAAGTGGTTTTGTTTCATTCACACGTTTTAACACACAAACCCTGCCTGCATAGTTAGGCTGTGTTCTTCTCTCAAACTGAAAACACTCTGTTCCACCTTGTGATGTCATGTGGTAATACAGGAAGTGTTCCACTGTGTTTTTGAACTACATACAACTTCATTAGAATCATTAAGATGATTTTAGCTATGGAATTAGCTCTCAGTACTGAACAAAAGGTAACTGTTAACATCAAAACTACCTCTTCATGACATCACAAGGTGGAACAGAGAGTTTTGAGCTTTAGAGGTGTAGACTGTTAAATAATAAAGTATGACTCAAACATGTGTGAAACAAAACACAAGTCTAGGTATGTTTCTGATGAGGTAACAACATTCTACCATGTCTTAAAGCTCACAATAATCCATTTAGCGTAATATAGGGCCTTTGAAAGTGTAACTTTTCTAGTGGAAGTTGACACTAGCTGCTGGTTGTCACAAAAATGTTATTGCTTTGCCTTGAATGCTCAACATTATGGCATAAAACCTATCAATCTCCATGGAAACAACAGGTTGTATTACCTATCAGATCTGTGGAGAAAAGGCATTTTTGAGCATTAAACACACTCTTAATGAAAATAAATGCAAGATGTTTAATGCCATACTACCAATGCCATTGATTATTCCATGGAAATGAATCACATCTCTGGAGACAAGCAGTCTTTCACTCAAAACTCTTTCACAACTGCTTAAAGTTGTGGCCTTACTCATTCTTAGTGGTGTAAATTGTTGTCAGTTGGAAGGACTTTGAAAGCCACAAATAAAGAGTTCATTTTTGAACCCTGCCCTTCATCTGAAATCATGATATCAAATTCTGTGTTGTGAATGCAACGTAACCTATGAATAGAGGTATTCTCTGCCCACACAAGCTCAAAACATATGAGATGAGGGAAAATGACGCTAGGGTATATAGTATTTTCTTCATAACGATTTTGAAATTGTGCAGTCCTGGTGGAAACATTTGCCGCGTTCTGGTCATACGTCAGTTTAATTATTTTTGCTTCCAGCCAGTGTATCATGCATTTTAATGGAGACTTTCAAGACGCACAGAGAATTTTTTGAAAACAAATCATAGATGTGTACTCAGTATATTAAATCAAAGTCGACTGGCTCCAAAAATAAACCAGGCACGTTTTTCATAGGCTAAATGTATAAAACATTGTTATAGGTGTAGCAAAACTGCATATATAGTATAACTTGATATGTACTTTTATAAGACAGTGGGTAAACAACAAATCTGTTAAAGGCCCAGTACATGATTTTTTCCCATTTAAGCAAAATTTGTCTTACAGTACAGATATGTATAAGCTGCTCTTGAGGGAAAATATGTCCACTGCATGCTGCATAATTAGAAATTGTTTAATTTGTTGATAATTAGGAAGCATGTGTGTTAGCATGGTAGTTGTTATTAACTTTACTGTCACGGCAAAGCATCGCTCTGGTCTCTGAGAGTTGTGAAAAGTGCCTGTAAACTCATTGTGGTGAGTAACCAGGCTGTTCAAATGCAGGGAATGAGGAATAAGTTTGGACCAATGCAAACAATAGTTCAGTTTTTCACATTTTTGGTGCAGCACCTTTAAAATGTATTAAAATGCTTATTTGTTTCATGTGTTTTCATGGTGTTTTTCATGTTACTGTTTACATTCTAAAATCAAATGTTGCTGTCTAATTCCAGTCAACACATGTTTGTTTTCTGGCCCCTGCTACGGCTCGGGTGTTGGCGGGCCCTAGTGATGTCTCATACCAAGAGGCCCCCTGGGAGTGGCGGGGTGAGAGGGCTCCGGGAACATTGGCTGTGGTTTCAGGACAACTAATAAACTTGTCTGGCTGGTCAGACAGTAGTGTGCCCAAGCAGCCTACAGTGTTTTGACAGGTCGGTGACCCCCCTTCTCCTATGGACGTGTACAAAGCATGACGAGTGTGAGCAAGATTATAATGGTTCACTAAATAAAGGCTTAAAAAGATAAATCTAAACGATTCATGAATATACTAGTATAGCATACAGAAATCATGGTTAAAGGAGGGATATTCTGCTTTTCAGGCAATTACTATGAACTATAACATTACATTAGGTTACATTTTATTCATTGTATGTCGCAATATTTATGTAAAATGCCTTAATACTAATCGAAAGCACTGACTATTTGTATGAAACTGTAGAACCTCTTACAGTGGCATTTCACCCAAGCAATCAGTCATTTATGGCTTATTATTTTTGTAAAGTAGTTATGAGACATTTTGAACATTACATGTATCACTCTTTGTCTTCTTTTTCCATATACTCACAATTAAGTACAGGAATGTAGAAACAGATAGAAAGTAGGTGAAAACAGACATTTCCTGAGCACTCAATATCATGCAGGTAACTTGAACTCAAATGCAACACAAGCATGCAGGCAAACGAAGGCTTAATTCAATAACAGAAAGTGTCAGATAATGTTTAATATGTTTATATTATATTTAATAAATCAGACTAAAAACATCAGGAATATATGATTATCAAACATAAATGACAGATGACAGATAATGTTTAATATGTTTATATTATATTTAATAAATCAGACTAAAAACATCAGGAATATATGATTATCAAACATAAATTAAAATATCATCCAAAAACTGGGAAATACTCTACGTAGGAAATAGGCTGTGAAATAAACACGGAAGCAGGTACTACCAACAAGGAAAGAAATCAGAATTGCACTAAATGCAAACAACAGGTTACAGATAGAGTTTCAGGGAAGGCTTGAGTGTGTGTCTTGACAGGTCAACAATTTGGCAAAGATTGAATGAGCAGGAGGAGTATATATAGGTTATCCTGGGATGATTAGTGAATGAGAGTCAGCTGCAGGAAAAGGAGGGAGGCAGCAAAAGGAGGACCGGAACAGACTGGGAAACGGAGCTGGACTGGGGAAAACAAACAAAAAGGCAGAACTGTGACACTCAATCCTTGTAAGTATTTTGTTTCATTAATGCAGGTGTGAGTAATTCAATAGTAAGTTAATGACAAAGGAACACAGTTAAAAGCTTATTAAGATATCCATATTATGCCTCCTTTGAATATTTTTGCATATAA